TCTTCAAACAGTCAAGGCCTCCTCTCCACCCAGTCTCCTAATTACTACTATTTTAATTCTTTTGATTGGATTTATCAGCAGAAAAACAGACTGAAACAACTCAAAAACTGTGCACAGTTTCACACTGAGCGCTCATTTACATCCAACGGTCATGTTTGTCTCGTGGTATGATTCTGCATAATTATCAAATTCATGTTTTCAATCAGGGCCCACTGTTAAGACACATCTGCTATTCGCTAAGACATGCCTCACAGCTGAGCGATATTCTCTTTTGTCTATTGCTATTTTCAGATGCCACTGTGGAATTTATGAAGCTGCACTTGTTGCTACACCGCTGTGAAATGGGGAGTAGAGATGAACTGGAATCAATCAGTTATAAGGAGGTGGGTACATTGCTATACTAAAGATACATTCACATTTTTCATAAAGGACCCATAATACACTGTCTTTTGATCTATGTTATAATGTTGAGTCCTCATCACAAACATATCTGGAGTTATGTTTTGTTTCATTTTAACACATTTAACACAGAGACCCTGCATACGTAGGCTCAAACAGAAAACACTCTGTTCCACCTTGGGATTCATGTGGCGGTATAGGAAGTGCTCCACTGTGTTTTTAAACTCCAAACACCTTCAACAGAATAATATGGATAATGTCAGCCCTGGATTTGCCAGTCTTTACTGAACAAAAGGTAAATTGGAGCTGTTAACATGAAAACTACCACCACATGACATCACAAGGTGAAACAAAACACAGCTCTATGCAAGTGTTTCAGGAGTTTACAACAATATAACATGGCTTAAACCTCACAGGAGTCAGTTTTGAGTAATATAGGACCTATAAACTGTAACATAAATTTCAGCACAAAGATCTTAAATCTTAAAAAGTGCATTATGTAACCTTCCTAGTGGAGGGTCTACTAGCTCCTTATCTCAATGGATCTGTTATAATTTTGCTCCACACAATAGCATTAAACATGGCAAAACATGGCATGGCAGGGGACATGATCAGGCCAAGTTATAGATCACATCTGTGGAGGGGTGACCCTGCTCGAAGAAATAATGCAAGGTATTTCTGAATAGTAAAAACACCAGTAATATAATAAATGAATGACAAGTTTAATGATATACTATTATTCCCCTCCCCACCACAGCCATACCTGATTTTTGTTCCCCAAGTATTTGAGCTAAATTCATCTAGCCCAGACTTGGGCATTATACAGTTCCTGGGCCACACATGGCCCTTTGGTTGACACTGACCAGACTGTTTAAGCTCATCTAGAATTACAAACTACACATTTTATACATTTTACATCATGCATGGACTAAAGCTGCATTGCTTTTATATTAGAGGTGTTTTTTAGTGACATTTTTTGTAAAGCAACCTCACTTTTTAATTGCTCTTACCAGTCTTACCAGCTTGTCAAAACAATCCTATTCACTGCTTTTTTGTATAAAGAAATACAATTAATATTATGCAGAACTAAGCTAAGCATTTTGGCTCAGCCCTCCACAATTTTTTCTGTTTCTCATGTGGCCCCTTGGAAAAAATTATTGTGTTGGTTGTGAAACACGATTATAAACTCATGAGATATAAATGCAATCATTTAGTTTTGATTTTCACATTTTAAAAAGTTAAAATCAGGTAGGAGTGAATTATACAGCAGGTCTGACCAAAATATCTAAAAATAAATCAGATAAAGTACAAGCTTTCAACAGTACTAATTGAATACTCTCCCAATCTCTTTAACAGGATGCTTTGAGCGGGACTTTCCGAGAATAATGACTAAAAAAATGTAAAGATGGAAGACTTGGCTTGGATTTATGCATGAAGGCAGGCGTCCCATGAGCCTTTGTGTGATGAATTATACAAACATACAAGCGATACAGGGAGTTTCTGGAGACGCAAGTTCAAACGCGTTGCCAGCAGTTGTCGTCACCATCAGCATAAGGTTTAAATATATTCTTTAAAAAATAAAACATGCAGCAGCTCTAGTATAAAGTTTTAAACAAGCTAAAATGACTGGGACACTTTTCTCAAAGTTGGTGACAAACTGAACAGAAGGGACTATGACTTGCTACTTGAAACTAGTTTGTAATACTATAAAAATGTGAATGAATCAAGTCAATACTTTTAAAAACTAGATATGTCTTGTAGTATACAGTATGGCATTTTTAATGATGCCATGAAGAACGAGAGGACATGAGCTAGGGCTGGGAATCATCAAATCAAAACATTTATACCAAAAAAAAAAAAAAAAAAAAACTCAGAATATCAACATTACGACATGTCACCATTTTAGCACATTTTAACATAAAAAAACGTAACGTAGCTGTACTCATAAAATCATTTCCATTCACAATACAGTAACTTATTCATACAGGCAAGGTGCAGTGTCTTGTCCAGTGACACCACAGAATACAGTCATCATAGCAGCAGGATTGGACCATGACACTTAAAGGTCCTATATTGCGCAAAACTGACTCTTGTGAGCTTAAGTCATGTTATAATGTTGTTACCTCTTGAAAAAAAAAAAAGTATCTGGAGTTTTGTTGTGCGTGTTTTGTCTTCTGTTTGAGAAAAGAACTCAGCCTAAATATGCAGGGTTTGTGTGTTAAATGTGTGATTGAAAAACACAACTACTGGTATGTTTGTGGTGAGGAAAGAACAGTATAACAAATCAGAAAATAGCATAATATGGTCCTTTTAAGAATTTGTGGGTCTCCGGTGTATGTCTTACTTATCCACAAATAAGTTTATTTCTGAACGCTGTGGGATACCAATCACCCTTGATAAATAGTACTGTTGCATGTTCAACAATATAGAAACATAAAAACAAAAAGTGAGGCAATTTTGAGGCTCTATGACAAACTTTGAGGTCAAGTTATTGACTTGAAGAACAGCAAAACATAAGAGCAGGACAGTCACAACCAGGAAATTACACCTTGGCTCTACAGAGAGAGGAACATTTTGCTCTTATGATACAGTCTCAGCTGCAATGCTTCTACCACTAAAGGGGCACTGTATATGTCTTTAGGTGGGGGTCCAAAACTTTCTTTTCTCTGGAGATGTTGTGATTTTGCCTGCAATTTTCTACAGAATTGTACAAAACTTGGCAATTTCCATGGAGACAAGCAGATGCCAATCAAACCAAGTATTATTTAGATAAAAACACACCTGAGATTGAATAAAGGCAAAACAAATAAGCGTATATAATATTTACAGATATTCTGGGCAAAGCCATACATATGAGCACCCCCTACACTCCCCAAAGACCCCCTATCAGAAAACTCAAATATTGTATTGTGCTGTACAATTATTATATAGTCAATTATTATATAGTCTGAAATCTCAAGATCATAAATGACCACTATTGGCCAAATAAGGATTTAAAATGTTTTTCATAATTCACAGTATTTTCATAGGCTGAACATCAGAAATGGTAACCACAGAACAGCACCCACCCAGAAAGCAGGGCATGATCAGTACATAGCTGAAATATTAGCCAGTTGTATGGTACATTTTATGCATTTGAGAAATATGGATACTAGATGTAAATTGACAGGAAAAGAAAGAGACATTTAAATACTAAGAGCCAGTACAAAAAATAGAAAACAGCTTATGTTTGTTACATTATACCTGGAAGCCACAAATTGGTATACACCCTCAAAATGTGCTGACTCCATTTGCCTGCCTTGTTTTATAACTGTAACAAACCTATGTTACAGTTATAAAATGCAATAGAAACACTTAGAATAACTCTATACTCTGACTGGTGGTGATGGGCAATATGTGGCCAAATTCAACACAACCGATTTCAATTTCCACTTTTGCCACATTCCTTTCCTCATCTGTCAAAATGTCCGACTGGTGGGACGGCTGTCAGAAAACGGTTGTGACACATGTTGGAGTTGCTCTGCAGAAGAAAGCACTCTCTCCGACACAGAGCTCGCGTCACTGATTCACTGAACGCGCTGCACTTGTGATGAATGAGGCATGCACCGAAAGTTTTACAAAGTTTCACACAAATAGAAAAGTTTCAGAATCTCATTTACTTTTTGTCATGGAAAACAATAAAGGTGCACTATGCAACTTTTTTGATGTAGGCTATGGAGACGTTATTCCCTTGCTTATAATGTTCCACAGTACTAATATTAAATGTATATTTATTTCATTTATTTTATTAAAAGGTGATTTTATTGCTGTAAATATTCTGTATTTGCATTATTTCTTGCCTCTGCACAGATCTTACCAGTCAATTTGCCAGGATTTGTCAAGTGATTGTCTCCATGGAGAGAGATGTGTTTAATGCCATAATGTGGAACTTCTTGGCAATGTCATAACATCTCCGTGTAGACAAAGCAGGTGGTGGACCATCCACCACAGAAAAGCCGCACCTTTAACTTATACATGTGTTAAAAGGTCAAATCAGATTGCAGATGCAAAAGGTACTTCATTATGTCTTATATCATTATGCCATGTCTTTTTTATGGTAAAACTCAAACACAGTTTTCCCATTTCTCTGGACACTGGCAAAACATTTTTGCATTTGAATCAAAACTGTCGCTTCACTTATTCACTAAAGAACCCTTTTTGCAGATCAACTAAGTACAAGCACTCGTGCATAGAAATTATGGGGTATTAGTTTCCCACTCAAACTGCAACGTGAGATTTCATTTTCAGTGTGATTGTTACTAACCAGAAGATTTCTATTACAATTATCACAGACATTTGCTTCCTTTTGCACTCAATCATCAAACCTCATCTTAGATGAAAATCAGAGAACTTTTAGTTCATTCTTTTGGTGACAGCATTTTCAGAATGTTAGATGCACCAAAACTAATTATTTTGAAACACACCCTTAGATGCATATTGTTAAATGGTATATGTAATAAAATAATTATAATTCTAAGTTTAATTCCAATTTATTTAATTCCAATGTATTTATTCTAATGAACTCATATGAATTAATTATATGTATAAATCAAATGACTTACAATAAACTGCTCAATATCCCGTTCCATCCCCACATTGGGCAGGTCAGGCATCATGTGGGCCACCACTTTGAATCCAGCATCTTTGGCCAAATGGAAGGACTCACACACGGCCTTCACTGTATGACCTCTGAGGAGACACACAAACAACTCTTGAATAAAGGGTCTGGTGCTTGCTGGTGCACACTTTAATAAAAGTGGTTTCTTTCTTTGATTCTTATGGTACTTGAATAGATGATCTTTAAACCACCTACTCAAGGGTTGTATTTCAAATGATTCTTGCAGTTGTTCATAATCCCGCATTGTAATGGATTTGAGCTGTGAATGCTCAGAAAATTCATTTTTACCTACCCCCTATCTCCACCCATAAGTCTGTACATACTTGTGATTGTTAAAAATATATATAGACTCCATGTTATACACATTAATTAAAAACGTCACACTGCCATTTCTTCTCATACATAAAACCATGTAAATGAAACAATGAAAATGTAAAACAATTGTTAATTTCTCTCTGGTTACTGCAGTCTTCGTCACTGACCTGTTTGTGTCTCTGGCCACATCCTCGTACACGCTCTGCACCCCGATTTCCAGCCGTGTGCAGCCATAGCTCAACATGTCGCTTAAATGTCGCTTCAGACAGTAGTCAGGACGCGTCTCTATGGTGATCCCCACGCATTTAGTATTACTGCGCTCTGAATACCTGAAAGAAAAATTTAAAAAAATTAAAATAAATCAAACTATTTACAAACACGTTATAATGTTGTTACCTCATCAAAAACTTACCCAGAGTTGTGTTTTGTTTCATTGAGTATAATCCTTTATTATTAGTCTGTCTACATCTCCAAAGCTCAAAATACTCTTTTCCACTTTGTGATGTCATGTAGTGGTAGTTTTCAAGCTAACAGCTTCCTTTTACCTTTTGTTAAGGAGTAATTGGCAATTCCAGGGCTGAAATTCCCAAAAATAATTCTAGTGAAGGTGTATGGAATTTAAATACAGCATTTCCTGTATTACCACATGACATCACAAGGTGGAACAGAGTGTTTTCCATTTGAGAGAAGAACTCAGCCTAAATATGCAGGGTGTGTTAAACATGTGAATGACACAAAATAAAATTCCAGGTATGTTTTTGATGAGGAAACAACATAACAGATAAGAAAATAGCATAATATGGGCCCTTTAAATGGAAGCAGGCATGAGGAGTGCTATTTTGATGTGTGAAATGTTTTTGGAAAAAAGTAAAAAATGATTAAAAGGTGCAGTGCATAACTTTGTTGTCTCCAAGGACATATTATTGGCTTACATGGAATGTACCGGCCTGCATGTAGTATACAGTAATGCCCTGTGTTTCTGCTCTTAGTTTATGTCTTCGTGAAGGCAAACTGCCAGTCAACCATTCATTCTAATATTTCTTGTTAAATGAGGATAGAGAAAGTACAAGCAAGGATTGTTAAAAAAAAAAAAAAGAAATCATGTGAAAATTTGAAATACATTAAAAAGTAATATTACTCAGGTAGAAGTAGCAAGTATGGCAATTTAAAATGTTCCTCACTTGCATCTCATTGCTATCCAGTTCAGTTTCTTATAATGGATTTTTAAAAACATAATATCGCATTTTTAATTTGGCTAGGAGGTCCAACATGAGCGAGACAGATCATTTAACAATATCCATTTAGAAGCTGTGAGTTTGAACAGTTCATTATGCAAACACTAACCTCACATTAAGGATACACTAATGCAATGTAAAGCAGAAAAACAATGCTGGTCATGTATAATGGAATGTTAATGGATATTTGAAGTGACGAAGAGTGAAGTTATAAGTCTATTTAAGTCTAAAATCATCTTATATGATCTATTATGACAAAAGGTGGTATGGAATACGTGTAACAATATACAGGTAAATGTCAATCAAATATGAACTTCAACAAGCCAATGCCTGGAATTTTCCAATCATAGGAGATTAATAGGAGGCACTTCCAGTTCCAAGTTACAGGTCAGATCTGGGCTGAGGTATGCCCATTAAAGTAAGAATACAGGTTTTTCTAAGGATTTTTGAGCAATTAAAACACTTGTAATGAGATGCAAGATTAAATATGTTTACTGTAGGACATTCCAGAAAAAAGTAAAAACAGTGACAGACCCTCCACCAGAAAGGTTAGGTGACAGACAGTTATCAAACCTATATGATTGATTAATCTGACTGTGAGCAGGGTTACCTCTACACTGATCTGACCTCTAACTTAAAAGGTTTAATACCAGACTGTGAAGCATTCCAGACAGCAATAATAACCCCATGGAGAAAAACATTCGAAGGACCCTCCACCAGAAAAGTTATACAAGCCACATTTAAAATACAGTTGCCACAGCCCAAAGTCCTACATAAATTTAAACGACAAGAAACAGAGACAGTCTTATCGATTACTTCCACTATATAACATTTTGAAAGATGTCACTTTTCTGTGTAGATTATAAACAAGACAAGCAGAGGGACTGGAAAAGTGTTATTACTTCCTTCCTTGCAATATTTTAAGGACTTGATGATGAATGGAAAGAGTAAACGAAGCTTACCAAGAGTCCACCCATACAATAAGAAATGCATTATCTTGTCATGTACCATAGCGTCACAATGGAGCTAAAAATGAACCATGTGTAAAGAACAGGTGCTCCTTTAAAAGCATTTGTGATTGAAATCTAGAGACGTCATCTTATACTTCATTACATCCACTCTGTCTTGCTGTCTTGACCACTAGCTCCCCCATATTCCCTCTGCCTCTTCTGCTGGCTATAAATGTCCGTCTTTTTACAGTCTGCTGGTTGATTTATACCAATTACAGTGGTTTATGCTTCACGGAGGATGCTCAGATTGTATGAAATGAATCAATAAAAAGTCTATTATCTGGAAGCGATTATCCGGGGGCGTCTTGCTGGGCTTATCAGAATGCTAGCAAGGTTTGAGCAGATGTGAGATTCATAGTTTTGGCTTTAGTTGCGTTTCTATCTTACATTTACAAGTAGTTTTATCTCCCCATATTTTGTACCAATATAAAGTTGTCTTCAAATATGTCTTCGTTTTCCATCCATTTGTTTTATACTGATTCAAAGATAGCGAGGATTTCAAGTTAATCTTTAAAAAAAATTATACTTTTAAATACATCAAAATGGAAATAGAATAAGTAGAGGACTATGGGACTCTAGATATCCCAGGGCTATTTCTATAAAATGTATTTTATTAAAGTTTACTTGTTTCAGAAAGAAAGAAATGGGAAAAGAGAGCGTAGAGACATTCAGCAAACCCAAAGCACTGAGGTGCCAACAACTACATATGTACATCATCTTAAACCACTACACCAGAAGCGAGCATGCATGTTTTGATTACTGATGTTTTATACCAGAAAGTGAAAAGAATTGTGTTTCTTGTACTGTATTTTAGGGCTTGAGAATTTACTTTGCCTGTTGTTCAAGATATGCTTAGCTTTTATGACAAATTTTGCCGCTCTACTGAATACAAATGAACCTCCAGCCTGTGTAGCACCTTGCATGGCCTGTGCTGATAGGAGCAGAGGGCAAAGCTACACAAACCATGAGTAATTCACAAAGCAACATTCTTATCAGACTTCGTAGGATAAACAAACAACTTCAGCTCCACAGAAAAAGCCATTATTTGGTCCAATCACCTGTACGAACCCATCAGCAACAGCCACTCTTGACTTTGAATTTCTCTGAAAAGTTGCTCTGATAGTAAAAACCGTGTCCATTTTTGTTTAGAAGCGGCTGAAGCGAGGGAGAAAGAAATCAATGGTGGTAATTGAGGCAGATCTTTTGGAACGACCTCTGCCTATTTTCTCTGAGGGTCTTTACGGGGCAATTTCAAAGCTTTATCTGTGAATATGATGACACTAACTTGGCTTCCTTTGGAAAATAAGCAGGGAATGCCTCATAACACAATCTAGTTGGAGCATTCTACATGCAGTAAGTATTTAAGGTTATCTATGCAAGTGGTTCAGGTCACAATGATGACCTCAGACTTTTTTACACTTTAGATTTTCAATTTAAGGTGCACTGTGCAACTTTTCTGGAGAAGGGCACGTCACCAGCTTCTCTCTATGAAGATGTTGACTGGAATGTTCCACAGCATGGCATTACCTGTATTTATCTTTATGGAGACAGCAGGTAACTCCATAGGGCCAAGTTAGATGTCAGACCTGTGGAGAGGCAAGTGCACTCACAATACGAATGCAAGTCAACAAAAACCCACTTTATTGAGCAAATGCAAGATGGATACATTTAATACCATACTGGGACATTCCAGACAAAGCAACAACATCTCCATGGCCACAAGCAGGTGGCGGAACCTCCACCAGAAATGTTACACACTGCACCTTTAATATATATGAACAATTTTTATCCCTGTTTGAGTTTAGTTCAGGATTTGTAGACAAATATTTAGTCCTGTTTTATTAAATTATTCCTGTGGGAACTGAGGTGCAATAAACAATATTCTGAATGTAAAACTTGACAATAAAACACTATTAAACATAATTTACTACTAACTTTACTTTTCTCTCACTTGGCCACAATATATGATTACTTCTGAATACATGACAGGATTCATAATATTACACAAACAAGGTATATTAAGACTGGTACAAGAGCTCCCTCTGGTGTAGATGTATGAAATAAATCTAATTAACTATGCACTGTCATTATAAAGGGCTCCCTTAAATCTTTAGTACATGTTAAAAGGTCAGACTAATAATGTTATAAAGTTATTGAGAAGGTAAGAGTGTAATTGAGCAAAACATTGTGTTTTACCAATAAAAACAGCAACACAGGAATATTTCTCCTCATAGTAAGTTGATCTATCAAAACTTGACATGGTGACAGACAATTATCAAGAATGTATGTTTGATTAAAGGTCCTATAATTACACAAAACTGACTCAGCTTTAAGCTTTAAGCCATGTTTTAATGTTGTTACCTCCTCAAAAAGTTGTGTTAAGTGTCATTCACACATTTGAATAATTGTTTATTATTATTCTGTCTACATCTCCAAAGCTCAAAATACTCTGTTCCATGAAGTGGTAGTTTTTGAGTTAACAACTACCTTTTACCTTTTGTGCAGTAGAGATCGGCAATTCCAGGGCTGAAATTATCCAAATGATTCTAGTGAAGGTGTATGGAGATTAAAACTGACCTGACGGCCTCTGCCACATTGTTGGAGGTGTGTCCAGAGAGAGCGTCGTGGAGGTTCCTGATGAAGTAGTCCCTGTACTCCTCAGCCAGAGCCATGAAGGTCCCGCCCATGACTATGAACTCCACTTTGTCCACACTGTGTCCCAACTGCTTCAACTGCAGATTTTTAAAAAGTTTATTATTATTATTAGTAGAGCCCGACCGATATATCGGCCAATATGGGCACCCGGAGAAATATCGGCTATCGGCCGATATTTCACGTGGGCATGTTATACCTCGTTATAAAGCTTAGACTCTCTACATTATGTTCATTTAATCCAATTTACAGACAGATAAATGTCCTAATATGTGGCTCCGCATCAGTATTTATCTGCGGTGTAATTTGTCTGTGTCCGTACTGTCCCTGAACACACCACCAGAGTGACGTCACTTCACTCGCGTGTGTTTGTTTGTTTACACGCGCATCGCCGTGCGCAACGCTGAGATTATATTCTTTTTCGGACAATCGGTTTGAGTCTGGATTAAAAGGACATTTATTAGTGCAGACTTGTGATGTGAGGAGGAGCCTGTGTGAGCGGTGAGTGTTGGAAATACATCGACTTTGAAGCTAGTTTAGGTTTTGTTAGTGGTTAGCTGCTGTAGCTCCCACACATAAACAGGCTGTTTTCTATTGGTCTATTGTAAAGTGACTACATTGGCCGTATATTTGTTACTGGACCTGCATTGATATGTAAATGAGCTGTGAATAGACTTGTGAATGATCCACATTTATGCATATAATTAACTACCGCGGTGCGCAGCATTTACGGCTAAAGGCTAATAGCGATAGTTTACTAGCTAGGAGTTATGGGTCGGTCGCGATCGAAGCAACGGGAGCATGCTTCTTATTGGGAGCCGTGTTTTCTCTTTTTCTCACTTTTTCTCTTCATGCCGCATGTAGACCCGTAGTTTGACAGAAGCAGCGTCTGAAAACGAAACTTTCAGAAATCTGCGTGTGCATAGGATACAAAAAAAGTGCATATTTGGCTGCAGTTCAGCATAAAATGAATAAACCAGGACAAATCTTGGGCTCCAGTACAGGAGAGAGATAGAAACCGAGTCCCTACACTCAGTCCTGGTTCAGTTCTGGTTTAGTCCTGCTTGCAACAAAACAATGTCAAGAGTCGCTTGGGAGCCGAAAGAGCCAGCTGCTTTAGTGAGCCGAGCCAAAAGAGCCGGTTCTCCAAAAAAAAAACTTAAATACCCATCACTAGTAGCTAGAATGTGATGCAAAAATGCGATTAGGCGATTATCTACTGTATGTAAATATGATGTAAAGAGTCAAAATAACAATAAATATTGCCTAAATAAACCCAATTTAGAATCCACTAGAGCCAAACCTAAGTTTTTTAATTAATTCAAGATTTACAGTGAATTTTTACATCACTAAATATATCGGTGATTTTATCGGCTATCGGCAGCTCCAACTCCCATTATATCGGTTTCATATCGGCCACAACAAAATCCATATCGGTCGGGCTCTAATTATTAGTATTAATCACCTGTGTTCAGCAAGTAACTAACTGTAGCGATTCTAAAATGGTTGAAAGCCAATGACTTGCATAAAATAACATGCCTCTTGAGGAAGTTAAAAGAAAGTTCAAATTTTTTAAAATATAATTTAGAGACTGTTTTAATTCAAATTTGTTAAGCTCTTATTTTTTTTATTTACTTTACTCTGGGTTTTTATATTGGTCTGGAATAAGCTTTTGTTTTGTTTTGTGGGAATTTTATTTTGACTATTATATTACCATCATTGCAGATTGAATATCTATTTTGCTATCTGAAAAAAGCGCAAAGGTAGACTGACAAAACCTAAACTAAAATGACCAAATAATAAAAAGACCAGGGCAAATAAGCGGGTATAAGAATTAGAGCCCGACCGATATGGATTTTGTTGTGGCCGATATGAAACCGATATAATGTGAGTTGAAGCTGCCGATAGCCGATATAATCGCCGATATATTTAGTGATGTAAAAATTCACTGTAAATCTTGAATTAATTAAAAAACTTAGGTTTGGCTCTAGTGGATTCTAAATTGGGTTTATTTAGGCAACATTTATTGTTATTTTGACTCTTTACATCATATTTACATACAGTAGATTGGCCTAATCGCATTTTTGCATCACATTCTAGCTACTAGTGATGGGTATTTAAGTTTTTTTTTTGGAGAACCGGCTCTTTTGGCTCGGCTCACTAAAGCAGCTGGCTCTTTCGGCTCCCAAGCGACTCTTGACATTGTTTTGTTGCAAGCAGGACTAAACCAGAACTGAACCAGGACTGAGTGTCGGGACTCGGTTTCTATCTTTCTTCTTCACTCGAGCCCAAGATTAGTCCTGGTTTATTCATTTTATGTTGAACTGCAGCCAAATATGCACTTTTTTTTTATCCTGTGCACATGCAGATTTCTGAAAGTTTCGTTTTCAGCCGCTGCTGCTGTCAAACTACGGGTCTACATGCGGCTTGAAGAGAAAAAGTGAGAAAAAGAGAAAACACGGCTCCCAATAAGAAACATGCTCCGGTTGTTCACTTCAAAGAGCCGGATCTAAGAGCCGCTTCGATCGCGACCGACCCATAACTCCTAGCTAGTAAACTATCGCTATTAGCCTTTAGCCGTAAAAACACGCGCACCGCGGTAATTAAATATATGTATAAATGTGAATCATTCACACGTCTATTCACAGCTCATTTACATATCAATGCTGGTCCAGTAGTAAATATACGGCCAATATAATCACTTTACAATAGACCAATAGAAAACAGCCTGTTTATGTGCGGGAGCTACAGCAGCTAATCGCTAACAAAACCTAAACTAGCTTCAAAGTCGATGTATTTCCAACACTCACCGCTCACACAGGCTCCTCCTCACATCACAAGTCTGCACTAATAAATGTCCTTTTAATCCAGACTCAAACCGATTGTCCGAAAAAGAATATAATCTCAGCGTTGCGCACGGCTGTGGGTGTAAACAAACACACGCGAGTGAAGTGACATCACTCTGGTGGTGTGTTCAGGGACAGTACGGACACAGACACAGACAAATTACACCGTAGATAAATACTGATGCGGAGCCACATATTAGGACATTTATCTGTCTGTAAATTGGATTAAATGAACAGAATGTAGAGAGTCTAAGCTTTATAACGAGGTATAACATGCCCACGTGAAATATCGGCCCATATCAGCAAGCATATCGGCCGATAGCCGATATGTCTCCAGGTGCCCATATTGGCTGATAATATCGGCCAGCTGATATATCGGTCGGGCTCTAATAAGAATCATCCATCTTCACAGAATATGAGCCCCGGTGTTAATGAATCTGTTTGCTCTGCTGCATTAGACTAATGTGGGCATAAATTTAAATAGTGATATAATTGGGGTCAGGTCTGGTCAGCCATTACTGTCGGGTGCTAAATATATTATTGATGTTCATGATTTCTTGATTTAGTCAATTAGAGTTTATGGTTCAAAGATGGTCTTTAGCAGTGGGAATCAGAAAATGGGCTGCATAAATTAGACAAAATCTCTCAATTTCAGTACCTTACAAATGTGACTGTAATTTATACCTGTTCCACTCGATGTCTTGTCTGGAGGTAGGGGTCATATCGGGCTCTGATGGCTCTCATAGATGTCGGCTTTAGTAAAAAAAAAAAAAAAGTATGTACATGTATATAATTGACAGAATGTTGAGGTACACTCAATGCATTTCCTATTCTTAACAACTCAAACATTTTAATTGTGTAAATCCTCACTTTACCTCATAGCCAGTGTATGACTGCGTGGAATACTCAAAGTCTGAGTCTGGGCCCCCAGGACAGTAACTGCAAACAAAATATGCAATTAAAAATGATAAATGTGTTGGTATATAATATATAAACTGAAATCATTTTTTATATTATGTGATTAGAACAACAAAACAAGCAATTTAAGGTTTCTAAATCATTAAAAAAAGAACAAAATAAAAAAAAACCTACACACAAATGTTTCCGGTGAAGTTGATGTGAGGACATCTGTGTGGTTTACACATCACAGCAACAACAGCAATCTGAAATTAACAATTTGTACATGTTAAGTTAAACACAAACATATTTTCTGTGCAGTAAGTCAGTACCAAGCCTTCCTTTAAGTACTGCATACCCCACTAGCAGTGCGGATGGGTTTAGCCTTCAGTTTGGGCACCAGAGCTCGGCGGTACTGAGGTGGAACAGCGGCTATGATATCCACCAGACGGGGCTGATTCTCCAGACCATACTTAGCCGATGTTTTGGTCTTCACTCTGGTAACAAAAAACAACAACAGATGTGGAGTTAATAGCTAAATATACCATTTTGAAGATATATAATTCTTAAAGGGCTACAATGGGATGTGTATGTCCTTTTTACAACTGGTCTAACACAAGGGGAAAAAAATTTTCACGAGAGTGTAGAAAATTTGTGATCTAGAACGACCAGTCCATAGGTCAGTCATTAATTCACATTTAATTCATTTTAGTAATGGTAGTTGTCATTTCTAAAACTAAAATTATTAAAAACACACACACACCTAAAAAGATATTATAAATTCTAATACAAAAAAATACATATATACAGATCCCCACCCCCCATCTGAGACTTCCACATTCTAGAACATGTATATAATCACCAGTAAACTGGGTCATGGTGTTAATAGCGGCTCTAACGACATGAGGAAATGACCCACTTGTTGAGGTTGATGTCTCTCCCCTCTTCGTGAGCCTCCACCAGCTGCTTGATGACGTCTGCAATGGTCATCATCATCAGCTCCGCTCGGCTAGCATCGTCTGGAAACACATTAGGACATAATGAGACAAGACTACTCAAAGGGAACACGTCAGTTCACTTTGTAATGGTTAAAAGAGGACAACAAATGCCTTGAATAGCTCCTGGCTTGTTTTAGGCACTTTTAAATTATCTTGAGCTAAAGCTTTTTTTTTTTGTTCTTTAAAAACTGAATTTCAAAATCTATTTCAATATTTATGTCCTGAACAAGATACAAACAAAAAACCTTTATTACTCTTGAAATAACTTCTGGTTATGATAAAAATTTAATTAATCCCTACAATACAATGAAATTTGAAATGAAATGAAAGACTATAAATGCATTAATTTTAACTAACTAACTAACTAACTAACTAACTAACTAACTAATTAAAAGTGTTTATTTTTCTGCGTTTCTATTTAACTAAAACTATGAATGTCAGATTTGAGAGAAGTTTGTTCAATGCAATATTAGTAAGTAATGTGATAACTGATTTAGGATTGTGGAAATATGAGCAGAGGTGTGCCTAATAATTTAACACATAAAGCAACTTCGCGCATTTAACATGATATTGTGTAATTACAGAAGGATATGTTCTTGTTTTCTCTTTTCCTTATGTAACACCGTATCCTGTGCAAATCTATAAAAACAGCACTGTTCTCTTCATTAGAAGGTATTTTATAACCTCAATTCCACAATGATACAAGTTAGCTTTAGCATGAGGCTAATCTAACCCAGTGTTGAATTTGGGGAGTTTTAAACAGTTAAAACGTTTTGTCATAGACTTACTTTTCTTCTTTGGCTTCCCCATGTCTTTACGCTGACAACAAAACAAACTCAAATACAAGAAACTTCTGTCGGAGGCACCAACATTAGTTAATTAAGCCGAGAGTGCTGTCAAAAGAAGTAAACAACCCCACGTTGCAGCATCCAAATGCGGCTTTGTCGTATGAAAGTTAGAGATGTCGTAAAATGACGTAAATATGAGTGCCGTTGGTTCTTTTTGAGTGTTTTATGATAAAATTAACAGCATATACTGTGTAATTGTATACACAAATATAAATGTTAACACGTGCGTATTTTATCCATCAGAATTATTTTTATGTTATATATTTTGTCAGGAAAATACTTTTTTTGTACACTCTCCAGTCTGCATTTTGACTCAGTTCCCTAGTCAAATTAGACTGTAAAATGAAACTCAACCCGACCTTTCTAGAAGAGGATTAGTAAGTATTAAGTATAAGTATCCTTAAGTTGGAAACGTTTAATAATTCAAGTGTTATTTTATTTCCTGGAGAGTATTCCTGTTGGCTCCTTTAGTGGCAGTGCCCGTGACTCCTCCACGCTGGGGCGCCACAGTCCCTCTATCCACCGGCTCCTGTGTGCGGCAAACAGGAGGCAACTTGGAAGCACTTGGCTAAATCTCAGGCAAATCCCTTTAGCCGCGTCTTGATATGGCTTCTTCTTGGTGACTGATCTCTGCTTTCAGGAAATGCAACAGGTGGAGGATCCGTGTGAATGAACCGTGGACTATGGTGAGTGTTTTGACATATCCACAAGAACTATAATCAATACAACAACCACGAAGCTTCTTATTTGAGTTTCTAAAATGTTCTTCGTGTTTTGTTTTTGTTTACAGCGCTTGTTAGCGTAAGCTAGCTTCTGTTCCTACTGCTGGAGAAGGACAGATACATTTTAGCGATTACTTCACACGGTTTGTTCACTTTAATAACTTGTCAATATAACTGTTTTATAAGCTCAAGTATGCCCTCATTGCTGGGAAAAATAGTCTGTCCGTAATTTATAGCACGAGTTGTGACTTGGTACGGTTATTTATAGTCGCATTGTCACGCATCAACGTCGTGGTAGCTTATAAAGAGTCCATGAACAAGTGCAATGTGGGTTACTGAGAATATGTTACTGTATTTTCCACAGAGGTCAGGTGTAAACATGGATGACAACAGTATGAGCGACTCCAATGTGAAGGTGGCGGTCCGTGTACGCCCAATGAACAGGAGAGGTGAGTGTGACAGCCATATGACAGAGCTATAGTCAATCATTACAATAAGGAATGTACACTGTGCATATTTGCCCTTTTCTGTGGGAATCAACAAGTAGATAATTTTTACATCTACAAATTACTCTGATTATTTAGGCCTTAATGCAAGGGTTAAAGTAGCCTCCTGGAATAGTCATCAAATAAAACTAAGCGAACAAAGAAGTATAGTGAAGTTAAGAATAAGGGTCTAACTTCAATCAACACAACCTATCCAAGTTAAAAGTCCTTGAACATACCACTGAAGTAGTGCAAATATAGTAGTTAGGTCTGTCCTAGGCCATATTTGCATGTGAGTAGAGTAGTAAAAGCTGTTCCTAAGTTTGTTTATTAGTTGTAGTATTGGAAGTTGAAATATTTTTACTCAAGTACATATAAAACAGTACTATTCTTAGAAGTCCAGTTTATACATATGAACTCCTGGCTACCATTACAAGCCATTTTTGTGCAATCATTTGGTTCTGTAAGACATGATAACTGCTTATCTATGACTATGCGAAATGCAGCAACTTCACTGAAAAAAATCTGACTTTGCATGTTAAACTATCTCCTGCTTTACTCCACAGGAAGAGCAAATTGTGTATCTGTTTTGTAACAGTGTTGAGGATATTATGTTTGCATAGGTTGGTACTGCTGAATCATCAGTGATAACACACCTTCCTGACTCTACATGTTTGATTGTTTGGCGTTCTGCTCGTGCGCATAGTTTATTTAATGAAAATGAGCACATGGAAAGTTATTGTGGCTAGTGGTCTTTATGCATGCTACAACACACTGTAAAGCTGTAATGTTTAAGTTACTGTTTCTGCATTTAAAGGATGTGAAACTTAATGCAAAGTCAATGTCACAACTAAAATCAAACAGATTACTAATGTTAACCAAATTGTCAATGACTTTTCTTCATGAACCAGGGTCCTACACCCAGTCTTTGAACATTTTTTTATTAGTTAAAATGATCTTATAATTATCTCTTCCACATCTAGAGGGAACCCTTAACTTCCACATTTCCCATGATTGTAAATTTGGTAATAATTAATGATAAAACATTTGGTCTTGCGTCTTTGCTGTATTCTGGAGTACCTAAACCATATTTACTATTTATATATATTTGTTTTTGCACAGAAAAAGACCTGAACACAAAATGTGTGGTGGAGATGGAGGGAAATCAGACTATTTTGCATCCAGCCATCACCAATACAAACAAAGGCGATCCTCGGTGAGTACAATTTGATCCTGTTCACTCAAATCCAACACTACATATTAACCATCTGGATTTATATACAAACACTGAACCTGAACTGCTTAAATGAATGCCCTAAACTAAACAAGACCTAACCCTCTGTTGTGAAATATTTACACAATATTACATTAACTGTAGTTTATCAGTTGCCATTAAAAAGTAGGAGTTTTTTTCTTAAAATGTGTGTAAGAGATATAGAATAAATGATTATATTTGTAATCGGCCTGTAGGTCTGTATAGATATGGTTATGTTGGAGTTTCTTATCTAAATATGACTGAATGTACATATGGACTTTTTCACACACATTGTTCTGAATGGGCCCTTGAGGTGTCTGACCTTGTTCATGATTTTCTAGGTCAGTACTTTGGTGTTTCACTGCGTGTACTTTACAGTTCAGTGCACCTGAAATTAACCATAGCTCTGTGTTATAACTTATATTTGATTGTATATATGTATGTATGTATATAAATATAACTATATATATATATTTTATTTTATTTATTTGTTTATTTATTTATTTGTATTTGTTTACTAGAAAGACATTGTTGACATAGTAGTAAATAATAGCCATATTGCATAATGTGCATATTCCTATTACAGAGATACTTAAGTCTCTACAGAGTTTGTACAGAGCTGAACCAGTCTGTCAGTAGTAGCCCCGCCCTCCTCCTCCACTCTGCTCCATTCCTGTCTTTACAAAGGGAGTGTCTGTTCCACATGAGACCTGCTCAGGTATTCATCCAAGGAAGGAATCACTACTTTTTTATTTACAGAGGGAGAGGTTTGAGGTACTGTATAAGAACAAATGACAATGTAAAAAAAGTCCTCAAGATGGTTACTCACAACAAAATATATTAAGTCTCTCTTTATGGTAAACACATTTCATAATCAAACCTTCAGCCAAGACTGAAGACTGACTGTCTTGCCCAAGGACACAGTAGCATTAAGGCCTATCACAATTATTACTATGTTGACTTATGATTCAAAAAATGACAATAACGTTCGGGGGTCGGTATATATCATATGTACTTTTCATTGTATTAGAAGCAGTTTTCTTGTTTTCTGTAGTACATTAACAAACTAGAATTAACATATCTTTACTTTGCCTCTTTATAAATATCAGTATGTTGTATATTGTGTATCTTTGCACTGTCTATTACATCTCTTGATCTTTGGGTTTAAATGTATCATTATCGTTTATTGTTGTCACTATATTTCATGAAGCAATATATCATACTTCAAAATGTGTAACTGAACTACTTTTTATGGCAGTTTGATGTAGCTGTACATAGCTTGCTACTAAGGTCAACGTTTTTTTTACCACTCGGCTAGTTCAATTCTTGTGTAATCATCCATACATTTCATTGTTGTGACAGTGTAGTTTTCTTGTGCACCAGGCTGTAGGTAGATGGATGCTGGAAGCCGCCTCCTCTTCTCAGGTTTCTGTATCTGATAAGTGCACCCTTGGGCCAGCCCCTGTTCATGATGGGAGTGAATGAAATACAGTCTTTGTATCATAGAGTTTGATAGTTCTTTGTTTTGCTTATATCTCTGGTTCCTCTGTCTCAACTTGCTTTACTGAGGTATTCCTCCCCTTGGGCGGTCATCTGAACAGGTTCAACAGGATCAATCTGACTGCCTGGTTTAGGAAGTGAGGAAGCTGGCTATGCAAATGAAACAGGTGGAGGAATTTAGAGGTCCTCAAACTGAAATTTTTACTTGTGACTTTATACATGGAAGTCCCTGTATTGATTTTTTTTTTACCCATTTATTTGAGCAAAAATGGTCTTGCCCCAATACAGATGTATTGTATAAGCAGCTTTTGAAGTCAACATATATCTGCTGTGTGCTGTCTGCATTTTAAAATGAAAGCAATTATCAGGATTTGCATGTTAGCAGGCTAGTTGTTGTTAGTAGTACTGTGATGGAAAAACTTCATTCTGGTCTCTGAAAGTTGTGAAAAGCGCTTATAAACTCATTGTGGTGAATAATTAGGATGCTTGGGATGCATAAGGTAAGTGAGGAATAACTTTAAGCCTTTTAAAATGAACTAGCTCTGTTTTGCACACTTTTTAAATTGGGTAGATTGCCTTTAATCCCAATTTACCAATTTAAAATATTTTTGGACAATAATGAGTGTACTCGGTGAGCCATATATATGTGTGTGATGGTATTTGGTCTATGCTCTGGCTTATTTCACAATTCTCTCTTGCCCACTCTTATTTTAGCCTGGTAAAGGTCAGCCATGTTCACCCTTGGCTGTTTTATTTGTTAGATCTTTAGTAGAGATAGACAGAGATATCGGTCTATATATTGGGCCAATATTTTTTTATAGGATATCAGCCTTAAATTTCCAGCATAAGCCAATATGTTTAGTCATTTTGTTTTAGTTTATATTAACACTAAAATTTTGTGGTAAAAAAAGGTTGTGGGTCAGGTTGTATTAAAATACATACTACTTAGAAAATAATAAAAACATATCGGCCAATCTCTAATTTTTACAAACAATGTGGGTTCCTTTATGTAAATCAATGAAAGCAGTCACAGCTTACACTAAACTTGTATATGATAAATAATATGAGATTTTTGTACAGTTTGTATTTTTTGTAAGTCCTCACAATGCCTGCTGGATTAGCCCACGGTGGTGTTAATATGCATCCCGGCTGGAGGCTGTCCGTCACTCCAGGTTTCTCATTTCAATAAGGCTTTATCGTTATAGCCTTCACAAGTTAGAAATAACCAATTAGATCTACTTTTATAACTTCAACTTTTAACCTTCACAAAAAATACAAATATATTTTTTCTTCATTTTTTTTTTTTACCATCACTTTCTACCTATGTTTTGTTGCCAGATCTAACAACCACATAAAATGAAATTCCATTAGTCTGCTATGTTAAATCACCAAAGTCTGGAGTTTGGTAATTTTCTATTTATGTTTATTTCTTTCTACATTTGATATACATATAGAAGACTTTAAATATATGAAATAAGATGGAATTAGCAAAGAAAAAAGTTAAATACTACTAAATATTTTTCAACAAAGCAAAAGGTGTTTAATTTGAGGACTTTGAGTAATTAGTAGTAGTAGTAGTTATTTAACTTGTTTTTTTTCTTTGCTACATAATTAGTAGTAAACCTATAGAAAAAATAAAAATAAATGAACAAGAGGGTGAGTCCAAACATTTGACTGGTATCGTCATTTACTGTGCCATCATGTTTCGATATTAATCACCATTTTTGCTTAGATCTTTTCATTATTGTTTTTATTTATTTTTGGATAACCCCTTGAGAAGCATCATTTCCTTTTCTTTGCTGTGTCCTCTTGAAATCTTGACCAACTCCTGATGACCATTTCCATTGCCATACTTTTGACTTTCTGAAGTATTTTCTTATCCAGACTTGATAAGATTTGTGTGTGTTCAAAGCCTGATAAATATTAGCTTTAGTGACTCCTCAGATCTGTCCAGTTATCTTAGGAATGTCCTCTGGGTCTGGGACAGGGCAGGAGTTAAAGCTGCTCTTTCATGAAGGCCAGCGTTCACACAGGGAGCCCTTGTTTTATTACTGCCCCCATGTGTGACTAAATTTACTTTTTTTCATTCCCCAAATTACTATTTCTGCTTGAGCGGAGACTGTGTGTTTTCTCATGCTGAGGAGCTGCAGTGTGAATGGGCCTCCCCAAAGTGTAATTAAAAAGCCTGAGAGAGCAAACAGTTTGGGCAAAAGCAGGAGTTATTTGCGATTTCCATATGAACAATGAATCTATAGTTGGCTTGAGTTGTTCTTATTGGCATTGTTGTATTTTATAGTGTGTTGGCAGTGGCACAATACCTGGCTTTCTATACAATGAAGCAGTTAAGTTTTAATGCAGTAGTTACTTTTCTGGCTCTTCAACTCTTTAGCATTGAAACAAATGAGCAGAAGTTTACAAGTCTAAACATACATACAGCATTAGGAAGGATAGCTAAATCTCTCAATACGCTATTTATTTATTGCTCAGTCAGTGTTTTGTGTTTTTGCTTTGTTTGTATTGTTGACAGGGTACTCATGGAAAAAGAAGCTCTGGGTCTCTCACTGGGCTCCTATATAAATAAATATAAATTAATGGAATGAAAAATAAACTTTCTAAATTCAAGTGTTAAAGATTCACTACGTAACTTTTTGGTTGGGGGGTCCCTCCCCTGCTTTTTTTATGGATATGTCATTGCTCTGCCTAAAATGTTCCACAGTATGACATTAAACAGCTCTACTTCACATTTTCAGTTAAAGGTGGTTTTGTAGCTCAAAAACTCCTAGAAAAACAGACATTCTTATGGTGAGCGTGATTGCCTCCCCGCAGATCAGACCTGTAACTAGGTCTGGTTTGGTCTCCATGATAAAAAATAAAGCTGTAATACCATACTGTGAAACATACCAGACAAAGCAATAACATCTCCATGGTTTAAAGCATTTGACGGCCCCTCCACCAGAAAAGTTACACAATGCACCTTTTAACAATTATTGTATAATGTGACCTGTATAATTACAATAAGCAATTTGCTGAAGATTCTTGACTTCCTTACTTTACTGTCATAAGTTTAAAAAGTTTTAATAGCCCACAGTGATGTAGTATTATTATGACTCTTTGATTTTGTGGATTTTAATTTGTAGTTGATAAAAAAAAATACACACATATACATTTTTGTTTGTTCTTCTTTTAGTGCTAGTGATTTTACTGTAGGGTGTGAAGTGTCCCTGATGTTGCTAGGAGACAGTTTCTTAGAGCGACTCAAGGTCAAATTCGCTCCATTCAAATTGAATCTAAAAAGGGGAATAAGAAGCTCCTGATTTTGTGAGGGTTGTTATCATTAAAACACAACAGTCACTGCAGAGCCAAAACCTAATCTCTGCTGCATTGTTGCACAACATTTGTAATTTGTTTATCTGTTTATTCAGTTGATTACAATATAATTATTATTCTATTAATTCTGTTACAAATGTTTGAATAGTAATGCATTTTTGGGTTGGGTCAAAACTAAGATATAACACAATTTTTACATCATTTATAATAATTAAATCAATACTTATTTAGTTTATAATGTATTTTTTCTCTTTTCTTTCAGTAACCAGCCAAAAGTAAGTATTGTAATTACGTATTTACAACATGTTTTTTGAAACACTTAACTCATAAATTGTCTTTTCATTTGCAGGTTTTTGCCTATGATCACTGCTTCTGGTCCATGGATGATGCTCAGAAAGACAAGTTTGCAGGTGGTTATCTGAAAGCACTTTGGTTTGTTTCTATTTTAGTTTGGTCCTTCAGAGCTCTGTGTCATTTCTTAGACCTATCTTCTTGCTGGACATTTCCTGATATTGTGAACTATTTATGGATTTTGTGAATAAGCCGCTTGCATGGTGGGATTCAGGGGCCTATTTTACACTATTTTCTAATCTATGTTATAATGTTATATATCCACTGTGTTTTTAAAGTCCTTACACCCTTTATAGAATAATTTGGATTATTTTAGACCTGGAATTGGTAATCTCTATTGAACAAAGGGTAAAAGGTAGCTGTTAACTTGAAAACTACTTCTTCCTGACATCACAGGTGGAACAGTGCATTTTGAGTTTACTTTTAATAATCAAGGATTACTAAAACGTGTGAATGAAGCAAAACACGACTGGTATGGTTTTTTAGGATATAATAACATGTCTTAAAGTTCACAAGAATCAGTTTCAAGTAACATAGGACCTTTAAGGACCGAACTTCACTGCAAATGAATACCGGTAATTACATTTTGGCTACCGCAACAACCACATAATTTAGACACTGGGTAGATTAATTAGTTACAGGAAGTATACTTCTTTAGTGCCGTCTGTGATTAAAAAAAGCAAGTCCAAGTTATTTAGTTCATTAAAGTTTCTGTGCTTTGTCCAGGTCAAGAAGTGGTGTTCCAGTGCCTTGGGGAGAGTCTGCTCAACAACGCTTTCATGGGTTATAACGCCTGCATCTTTGCTTATGGACAAACAGGTATCACATTAAGAAACAGTGAGCATACACATACATACATACAGTAAGTGTGCATGTATTTTTGTGCAATAAAAACATCTTTAGTGAAATGAGTAAAATAAATGTGAGACAGACAGATTTTATGCCATGTTGGCAGGCACAGCAGTAACATCGCTATGGAGACAAGTAAGCAGACTCCACCAGAAAAGTTACATAGAGCACTTTTTAAAATCAGCATAACTTGCCTCATAGAAGAGTAAACATGACACTAAAATATAAAGTAAATAAGTAAAAGTAAGTAAATATTTGTTGTTTTGTTTTAAATGTATAATTAACGTTTCTGGTGGAAGGTCCCTCCAATGCTTTTCGCCATGAAGATGTTATTGCTTTGTCTGGAATGTTTCACAGTATGGTATTAAACCTTTCTATCTTCATGGAGACCAAACCAGACAAGGTCAAGATTTGTAGGGAGGCAACCCCGCTCAAAGTCAGAATGCCTGTATTCCTATGTATATTTGAGCTGTAAACCCATCTGTAATTTAATAAATATAACGTAGAGCTGTTTACTGTCTTACTGTGGAACATTCCAGGCAGAGCAACAACATCTATAGAAACAAGTAGGTGATGGACCCCCAACCAAAAAGTTACTTAGTGCACCTTAAAATTCCATAATCCATCCAGTTGATATGATCTGCTCACATTGTGAATGACCTCCTCGCAGTGACAGGCTGATTTAGTGAATGAGAAAGATCCCCGTTGTTAATTAGACTGGAGTGATGAACTGGTGCGAGTCTCAGCAGGATGCACTGACCTTTACTGTGGCATTTTCACTAACACTCTGTCAAAACAACATAAAACACCTCAGTAACAGTGTTCTGCAGCATCAACTGGCATTTTTGTTGTGTTTAATACTGGTTTGTTTTTAAGTGGATTTGTGGATTTTTAGGTTAAATGGCAGATTTTACTTTTCAACTTGAAGTATGGTTTTGGTAGCAGTAAAAGGAGAATGTTAAATAATATAATTGTAAATACAAATTATTTATTAACTGATGTACGGTAGTCATGTCATGACATATCAGTTTAATATTGATTGCAAATATATCTGTTAAAGTACAAAGAGCATCTAAACAAAAAAGTTCCTGTTTTTGAAATTTGAAAAAACAAAACAAAAAACAAACAAAAAAAAGTAATTATAATCTTACATTGAGCATCGCTATTTTTGACTGAAGATTTTGTACTTCCTTTTAGACTTCAGATAGACTTGATTGATCCACAAGGGAAATTTTGTATGTTGACGTTATGATACTTTCTGGGGCTGGGCAGTCTACTGAATTTAAATCAAGTTTCAGAATGTCTTATTGTCAATAATATGGTTAGATAATTTTAATGGCGAGACCTATTGCCAATCCTTGGTAAGTAGAAACATGAGTTGAAGCAGAGTTCAGACATCAAATCAGAAAATGAAGAAGAAATGAATGAATGAATATTAATTTTCTTCAGATTTAATTCTTTCCAATGTTGGGATCTTTTAAACTCGCCTAGATTAGAAGCCAAAAGCATAACAGAAAATCAAATAAACCGGCTGTGACAGTTCTTTCCCCTCCTGTGTCCAGGCTCAGGGAAGTCTTTCACCATGATGGGCTCAGCGGAGCAGCCTGGTCTGATACCTCGTCTCTGCAGTGCTCTGTTCAACCGCATCAACCTGGAGCTCAGGGAGGGAGAGAGCTTCACTGTGGAGGTGTCCTACATGGAGATCTACAACGAGAAAGTCCGCGACCTCCTGGACCCCAAAGGGTACTGATGAGACTGAGTCAAAGCTAGGGCTGCAAATTATCACAACTGAATCACAATCTTAATTTCGATGGTCACAATTAGCACATCGCAAGAACTGCAGTTTTTAAAGTTATTTGTAATAGTAGTAGTTTAGATCTCTACAAACATGTTCTTGGATTAGTTTACCTGTTCAGATTTCAGTCCTCTTTCAAATGTTCAAGTTTCTGGATGCCATTAAATGTGAAATTTGAACAGAGTTGGTAACTATTAAAACATAAATATCCAATTATATTGCATTTGCAATGTTTGTCTGAAAAAAATCACAATTTGATATTTTATCCAAATCAGTTCAGTCCTTGTCAAAACTGGTGTTCGTTTAATCTTTCGTCTTTGTCTTTATTAGGGACACAAGAGACAACATAGGGCTCATAGCTTGAGTGAAAATAATAATTCAATTCAGAAATTCAGTACATAGACTCCAACTAATGCTGGCACTTAAAGCTACTTATAAAGCAACTGTTGATCTTTTGCTTAAAAATACCAAGTACAACAAAAGATTGCTACTATTATTAGCACCTCTTGCAGTCATGTAAGTATCAAAAGTATCTCTTCAACAACCCTCCACCAACTGGAAAGTCCCCAAAACCCTGTAGTGAATTACACCACCACAAAATCCTCAAGGTCAGACATTGTAGCAATGCTTGTTTATTTTTAGCATAACAATGTCCATAGCTCTGCACATTGAAATAAGAAAATATAAACTTAAAACTGGGGCTTGGAACTATGTACTGGGTATGTATGAGATGTAAAACTTTTTTGTCTCTCTTTTAGAGGTCGACAGACACTGAGAGTGAGGGAGCACAAGGTGTTTGGACCTTATGTGGATGGACTTTCACGCCTGGCTGTATCAAGCTATAAGGTATTGTGCATGTGTTTACTTCAATATAACCATTCTTATTGTATAACGTTGCCCTGGGAACCATATTATTACACTTTAAGTTATTTGTTATATGTATGTTGTTTAATCAGGATATCGAGTCTTTGATGGAGGGGAATAAATCTCGAACGGTGGCAGCAACGAATATGAACGAGGAGAGCAGCCGATCTCATGCAGTGTTCAACATCATCCTCACACACACACTTTGCGACCTTAAGTCTGGGGTAAAATGAAAAAAAAAATAATAATAATAATAAATTTGAGATTATTTTATATTTGATCTAATGAATTATTTACAATAATCTAAACTAGACAGATCGTCACAAATTGTCTATTTTGGTAATACTTTATAGAGAAACTTTAAAGGTGCACAGTGTAACTTTTATGGAGATGATCTGCAGATGGTCTTAAAAATCATTCATTCTTACTGTGAGTGGGGTTGCCTCTCCACAAATCTAACCTGGGTCATTCCACACCATTTCACCAAATTTCCAGAAAATCTCATGCATCATGTTTTTTAAAAATTTTGAAAAAATTACCAGCTGGTCCCTTACTATCATGTACCAACCCTGTGACGTTTTAGTGATTTTCGATCATTACTTTTCAAGTTACAACTCATTTTATGAGGGGAGTATGTGTGAATTTACAGGCCCAAAATTGTTTAATTTTTTTCTCTGCCGTTTTGACAGGTTGATATCTCCATAAGTATTACACATAGAGGCTATGTGTGAGGGTCCTGTTAAAAACAAGAAAATGCAACATGGTCCGATTTTCTCATGTAATTTATGGCATGTGGGTAGTGATAAAAAAATTTTTTAATAATTTTTGTTTGGTACCATATGAAAGGTCTTTTTCTGATCTTTCAAACATGTATTTTATGAAGCTCCTTGAATTTTTAATTGTATCTTGAACATTCACATTTGACACAATGACACAAGTATACAGTGACCATGTACTATATTTTATTCCAGCAGCTAAAGCTCCTAAACATGAAGAATGAACAAGAATGAATCAGCAGGATGTGTTACAAGTTATCTAAAAACCCAGAACACAGAACATATATGTCTTATTCATCATCAGTATTGGTAGGCACATCCTCATAAACCTGCAGTCAGTCCCGAAGCTCTGGGATTGTCTGGCCGAGGTCACGGCAGCATGGACAGTCCCCACAAGCTTGACAGAATTCTCCTCAACTTGTGGAGGCTTTTTCATCCCTGGTGGACTGGTTTTAGATGGTTCAGTTGACCATGCTGACTGGGGTGTGGCCTTGTAAGTTGAATCAGGCGCTTCGTCATCTGTGCACCTCATTAATTTCTTGGGAGTAGGCTCTTGGTCCCATGGTGATCCAAACATGTACTGGCTCTCTTAAAATATATAACAAAAAAAAACTTCAAAACAAATGTGCATTTGGAACTATATAGGTACACCCCAGAATAAAGATGAATATGATATTTTTATATGCGATAAACTCCCTCAAATCCTGAAATTTCCCTTAAATGGACAGCCTTAACACTTTCCATTTAAGGCTCCATAAAACTTTCTTTACCTGCTCAGGTGATCCAAACATGACAGGGAACTGTTTCCTCACTACTTCGCTGCTTCCGGATATTTGAGTTCGTTGCGCATCTAAATCTGTTGTAACGTTTTGCATAGTGTTGAACATCAATGTGCCGACCACAACTAAGAGAAGACAATATCATATTGTTGAACGTGACTTGATTGTTTCTTTAATATGAGAATAATCTACAGCTGTTTTCTTGGATGTCAGATACCTTGTCAGATCAAAATTATTATCAAACCATTTGCTTCTGTCTTTAAATGTTTAGTGACGTTAGCTGCTGGATTAAAACATAGTACATGATCGCTGTATACTTGTGTCATTGTGTCTTGCACTGTGACTGAAACCTCAAAAACACGAATGTTCAAGATACAATTAAAAATTGAAGGAGCCTCATAAAATACATATGCTTGATACCATATGAAAGGTTTTTTTCTGGTCTTTCAAAGAAAAATTATTCCAGATTTTTTCATCACTACCCACATGCCATAAATTACATGTGAAAATCGGACCATGTTGCATTTTCTTGTTATTAGCAGGACTCTCACACATAACCTATTTCAAATTTTCAACATTTGGTGATTTCTTTTAACAGTCCTAGTAAAAATCTTGATTCTCAAAAAAAATTAAGGGTCTCCTACACCTACAAGTAGGTTTAAAAATGGGCTAAAAATGGTACGCCATGGAAATTAATTAGTTATTTTTCATTTTTAAATTCATATAAAATGACAATGAGATACCAAATTTTCAATAGTTGTTATTTGAACACAGAGTGGAGGACTACAAGCCTACAAAATTTCAGCCCCCTATGTGTCATACTTACAGAGATATCAACCTGTGAAAACGGCCAAGAAAAAATTATGCGATTTTGGGCCGGTAAATTGACACATACTCCCCTCATAAAATGAGCTGTAACTTGAAAAGTAATGATCGAAAATCACAAAAACTTTACAGGGTTGGTACATGATAATAAGGGACTGTTTAGTATTTTTTTCAAAATTTTTTTAGATCAAAGTGCGTGGGCCATTTGGTGAAATGGCGTGGAATGACCCACTTGTAATTTGTCTTGCAAGTCCCCATGAAGATTCTTAAAGTTTTAGTCTTACTGTAGAACATTGGAGACAAGCAGGTGACGGACCCTCTAGTTACACAGTGCACTTTTACCTTACTTTGCTAAATAAAAGTGTATGCCTAGAATGTTCCACATTATGACATTAAATGCATCTATCTCGCATGTATATATAAAAAAAAGTTTTAAAATACAATACATCAATTAAAATGGCAATGTAGGGCTGTGAAATCAATAGAAATTTTAATCCTGATTACAGTTCCAGCTCCAATCAGATACAAAAATGGTAATATTGAAAAAAAAAAACTTTCTGAATGATGTGTTGATGTGTGGGTGCATGCTCTGCCCCTCTAAAGCTTGATCAGAAATTAACTTACCTAAGCTACAATATCTTTTAAAACATGAATTACACAGCATAAAAGATAAGAAGTCTATTCCTCTTCTAAACTTAAATAATTGTTTCAAATCATAATGATTTCCAATTCTGACACAATTTTTATAACGAATTGAGAAGTCTGATTATATTATATACAGTGTTTTATTGTTCAAAGCCGGTATTATTTATTTTGGTTTAATTTGTGTAGACAAGTGGAGAGAAAGTCAGTAAGCTGAGTCTGGTGGATCTGGCCGGCAGTGAGCGGGCGGCAAAAACTGGAGCAGCTGGAGAGAGACTGAAAGAAGGAAGTAACATAAACAAGTAAGTAAACCAAACCTGTAGATCTATTCACAAATGCTATAGTTAACATTGAAAATTACATAATAGATGGACAAAGTTATGAATAAGTCACCAAGGCTTAAAAAAGCTTTAAGAAAAGTTAATTTACAAATCGGTGAAGTTAACATTATGGGCACTATCTTGCGCCCGATCTTATGTGCAGCAAAGTCTGCAGTCCTAATGCTGCGATGTCGGATTTCCTCACATCCTCTGACCCTTTCTGTCATCAGCTCCATTTAATTTTATGACCAAATTTATTCACATTGTGCCACTTTGGTTAGTATATAAAGTTAGTCGCCAGTAGGGAGGCTATCATCAGAACTGTAGAAAACTGCACAGAGCCATGAAACAGCCAGTTTGACAGGGATCAGTGTCTGCATTCACTGACAGCTCAGGGCTGTGACAACAGAGCAGAGCAGAGTCATGTCTCGTATGTGCTGCTCTCTTGGCAGTGGTGAGTAGAGCTTTGTACAGTGGCTCGAGATGTATAGTGCACATGATCAATGTTCTGTACAGACCTGTGCATCCTGCTCTGTGCGCCCATGGCGCATATCTGTCACCGAAGCAAATGCAGGTCATGCAGTCATCCTCCCTGTGTGTTAATGGTTTAATCCATGTCTATGCACAAAGATGTAAAATCAGAAACATATATATGACAATAAATGTATAAATGTGTGGGGCCAAATGCAGTGGACACCTGTGAGATGAGAATGAGAACTGTCAGCAGTAGCAGCAGTGGAAATTTTGTGGCGGGAGTGGATGCGACCAGGGAGAGAGTAGCGCTCAGCGGGTCTCCGGGATGGAGAGCGTATGAGATAGACACTGGTCTGCTGTGTAATGGGAGGCAAAGGAACGCAGAGAAAACTAAAAAGGTTGACATGTGTGCATACATGGGCTTATAGCGGTGTGCGTGTGTGAGAGGGGTATATGTGTGCGCAGAGTGTTCGGAACACAAACCCAGTCATGGCCCATCCAAAATTCTATATTCCTGGTGCCTCTACTGGTGCTTTTGTGTGTCGTGGGGCTCTGGAGCTGTTTTATTGTACCCATATCTAACTTTTCCCCACACTCCGCTTTGGTGCCTCATAATAAGACAAAGAATGCAGACATTACCCACACTGGCAGTGCTTTTAAATGCAATAGCGGTCATAGATTGGTTGAAATGTTATCACCATATATGTACTTGTACTGTCCGTACAGCAGTGAAATACATCTCAACCTGGACACGCCCCCTCGTTAACAATAATGCTAAGATCGGGGGTAAGATAGGGCCCTATGACTGTTGTCGTTTTGGTCACAATAATAACATTAAGGCTTCACCAACTTTCTGTTGCCATCTATTTAAATTAAATTGTGATATTGTGGCGTTGACAGAAAAAAATCTGCTTAGTGAATTTGTGCTGAGAGACATTCAACCCTGTGCCAATTTTTGTTTCATTTCAACAGTTCTGTGATTCCCGGATATAAATATTTCATGCCAAGAAATCTCCTGCAAACTTACACAGAAATCTTGTCTGTTTAAAGGGATGATCTATGTTATAATGTTTTTTCCTTATCACAAACATACCTGGAGTTGTGCTTTGTTTCATTCACATATGTTTAACACACAAACCCTGCATATTTAGGCTGAGTTCTTCAGAAACAGAAAAGACACCACCATGTGATGTGTGGTAATACAATGTGTGTTTTTAAATTTCTTACACCTTTACTTATTCAGCTCTGTAATTGCTAATCTGTACTAAACTAAAGGTAAAAGGTAGTTAAAGGTAGTCTGTTAACTTGAATTACTGCTTCATGACATCACAAGGTGGAACAGAACATTTTGAATTTAGGAGATATATACAGACTAATAATGTTTTGAGTTATTCAAACATGTGTGAATGAAACAAAACACAACTCCAGGTATGTTTTTGATGAGGTAACAACATTATAATATGGCTTAAGAGTCTATTGTATCTAATATAGGACCTTTAAAGGTACAGATTATTTGCCCATGAGATTAAAATAATATAAAAAAAACACAAACTTTCACTTCTTTTCCAATCTAAAAGGAGTAAAATAAAGGTACTAAGAACAAAATGACTGTTGTGTATAAGGACACTTGATATCTTGTAACATAGTGTTCCTCTCTCTCTCTCTTCTTTGTCTCTCTCTGTCTCTCTCTTTCTCTTTGATAATAACTTCTCCTGCCATAGATCGCTCAGTACTTTGGGTTTGGTTATCTCGGCCTTGGCTGATCAGGGAGCTGGAAAAAACAAGTTTGTTCCCTACAGAGACTCTGTGCTCACCTGGCTGCTCAAGGTACACTGCAAAACTTTGATAACGTCATGATGTATTTAACAAAAATGCACCTCTCGGAGGTTATCTGTTGTCTCTATTCACATGATGTTCAGGCAGCTCTTGGCTACATAATGATTCATTAAAAGCCACTTCTGAGAAATTTTACTTTTTCTGAAATGTGTAACTTGGTCTGGTTTGGTCTCTATGAAAGTGCTTTACAGAGCACTATTCAGTCCCTCCACACTCTCTGGGGGTAAGATATTATTGTAACCTCAGCTGCCCTGGGACAGACTGATGGAAGTGAGGCTTCCAATCTGCACCATTGGCCCTCCAACCACCACCATCATTCATACCCTCTATTTTTATACTAATCAATATGGATGAAGTGTATTGCCTAAGAATACAGCAACAGGTCCGGCCTTGCTTAGCTTCTGAGGCAAGCTTTGACAAACCGTTATGGTCACAAACATTCTGGACAAAGCAGTAACATCTCCATGAAGAAAAGCATTTGATGGACCCTGCACCAGAAAAGTTACACAAAATACCTTTAAATATAAATATTTATGCCACACCTTTGAACTGTCACTAGGGTCTCTCTAGTAAAATCAATAAGCAAATACCATTAACATCTGGCTTAGTAATAAGAAGCTGTATAAATTCATACTAGATAAATAGCATATTTGTGTATGTATGTGTGCCCTACACAGGACAGTCTGGGAGGTAATAGCCGCACTGCGATGGTAGCTACAGTGAGTCCTGCTGCCGATAATTACGATGAGACTCTGTCCACACTGAGGTACGCAGACAGAGCCAAAAGCATCGTGAACCACGCTGTCGTCAACGAAGACCCCAATGCTAGGATTATCCGCGAGCTCAGGGAGGAGGTGGAGAAGCTCAGAGAACAGCTCACAGAGGCTGAGGTACAGAGTAATAATTAATTAACCAACCGTTCATTAACCAACAGCATTCATCAATCTTTATTTATATAATTTTTCATCAAGTCAAATAAAAATGGCATAGGTACTAATATGACTCATAATGTCAAAAATAATTGGGGCTATAACAACGGATGAATGAATTTTTTTGTGCAATCGTTTTTGTCTGTAACTGTAGAAAAGCAAACATTGTAAATAAGGAATGTACTTTTATAATTTAGGGTTAAATGAAATACAGTTGCAGTGATGTGTAAACTCTCAGCTTTTGGTCACCTCTTAAAGGCAATATAAAAGTACTAAGTGCATGAATCATGAGAAAATTGAATGTGTGGCCTTATATTATAAGGATTTTTAAAGCATGTGTGTCTTTTTTTTCAGTCCTATAGATACATGTATTTTGAAAAGCTTTAATAAAAAACTAATCACATATTTTTATATCTTCAGTCCATGAAGGCTCCAGAGCTGAAAGAGCGTCTGGAGGAGTCTGAGAAACTGATACAGGAGATGACTGTGTCCTGGGAGGAGAAGCTTCGCAAAACTGAGGAAATTGCTCAGGTACTGATCATACTGGTGTAATATATTGATTGTATTATGCTACTGTATATATGCTAGGTTAAATAATGTAATATTTTGTGGTGCAGGAGCGTCAGAAGCAGCTGGAGAGCCTGGGCATCTCTCTACAGTCCTCGGGTATCAGAGTGGTTGACGACAAGTGCTTCCTGGTCAATCTCAACGCCGACCCCGCCCTCAACGAACTGCTCGTTTACTACCTCAAGGTACAACACACGATTAGGCACATCTCATGTACATTAAAGATCCTATATTTTGTAAAATTATTCTTGTGAGCTTTAAGCCATGTTAGAATGTTGTTACCTCCTCAAAAACATACCTGGAGTTGTGTTCTGTTTCATTCATGCATGTTTGAGTAATCCTTTTCCTATTATTAGTCTATCTTCATATAAAATTCAAAATGCTCCTTTTCACCTTGATGAAGCGCAACTTTTCTCTATCTTTTACTTTTTGTTGAGTAGAGATAGGCAATCCCAGGGCTGAAATTATCCAAATGATTCCAGTGAAGGTGTATGGAGTTTAAAAACACAAAAAAACATGACATCACAAGTTGAACAGTATTGTCACTTTGAGAGGAGAACTCGGACTACATTTACATTGAAACAAATCCGTGTATCACCGTATTGGGAACGATCTGTGTCCAGACACGTCATTTCTGTCCGCAAACCATCCCTATCCACACAGTTTTGAGCATATTTGTTTATGTTTTACAGAAAGGAAATTTAAAACTGCATGGCTAATTTGCATAAACTAAGCACTCAAAAAACAGCTTGCTATTGTGCGCTGATACAGTTCAGCTTCTGTCAGACTAAACAACATGACTCAGTGGATTATATGTGTTCTTTCTGTGACAGAGGGGTGTTCAGCTAATGGTGAGTCTGTTCTGTGCTTCCATCGTGTTGGAGATGGTTCATGTTAAACTTTTCAGAGATTATACATCTGCAGGTCATACGCATAGACCGTATATATGAATAGACATATATTTTAGCCTCTTAGTGTTTTGGCAGAGAATTATTTCGTGGCGCATAGACCTACATCAGCGTACCACTGTATCAGCATATTCAGGCGTCCACACAGATGAATGACTCAAATGAATTTCTTGGAGCTAGCCGCACCAGATCGTTCCATCTCTGGAGCCATTTTCAATCGGACGATGTGGATGAACACTGCATCCGCAACGAAAACGACTTGAATATTTACTAGTGTGGACGAGGCCTCAGTTTGTGTGTTAAACATGTGTGAATTCAACAAAACACAACTCCTGGTATGTTTTTATGAAGAAACAACATTATAATATAAATCAGAAAATAGCATAATATGATCTCTTTAAGTTACAGTTTATTTTCACTAACTATTTTAATCATATTTCTGATGCTGCCTGTTTTCCCAGGATCACACTCGGGTGGGCTCTGCTAACTCTCAGGACATCCAGCTCTGTGGAATGGCCATTCAGTCTGAACACTGTGTCATTGACATCAATGACAGCACTGTAGTACTAACTCCTCATCGGAATGCTCGGTAAGAATCTGCTACTTTCATCATTGCTCATTTATCTTGAGTGTCGTCACAATATTTAAAAGGAATTATACTCAATACCAGTTTTGATACATGGCTTATTACAAAACGTTTCATAGTAGTTCAACCAAAAATCAAGACCATTGTTAAACTAATCAGTCTTCCTTTTTTTTTTTGTCTCTGCAGCACCTGTGTGAATGGCTCTGTAGTGACAAGTCCAGTGCAGCTGCATCATGGAGACCGAATCCTGTGGGGCAACAACCACTTCTTTAGGTTTGTCTCTCTTTTATTCTGCTGTTTGTAGTGTTTCATATGACCAAAATTAGTAAAGTTTATTTTATGTAATATCCATACAACAAGAAATTGTTGTATGGATATTATTCTGAATATAACTATTCAGAATAGTTATAACACATCATATATTTTATCACTTGTGCTACCTTGTTTTGTTTTCTTCCTGTTTCTCACACAACCTTCCTCTCTGTGACATTGACCACACAGGATCAACCTGCCCAAACACAAGGGGCAGAGCGCCGCCGAGGGGGAGGAGAGCTCCGCCCCTAAAGCCGGTCTAAGCGTGGACCGCCTAGATGTGGACCACGACTCCTTCAGTGACGTCTCCAGCGAACGCAGCTTCAGCTATGAGTCTGCCCAGGCTGAGGTCATGATGAAGGCCATGGGCAGCAATGGTCAGCCTCTTCATCATCATTATTGCACCATTTAGTTTTTTACTTACATTTTTCTTTTATTCAAAATTTCCACGGTATCTTTTTAGAGACTATGCTCATATTCCAAATTTCTGCAGTTGTATCCAGTAACAGAAATTTGCATATAACATCAGCCCTAACATATTGTCCATTGCTAATTTCCACAATGCAAAGATGAGAAGGTGTGAAAGTGTGTATTATGTTTTTAGTTTCACAAAGCTCTTTTGATTTTGGAATTATAAAACATGGTGCTACCAGTTCCTTTTTAATTGATGAATGACATGTATTGTAATTACATTGGCCCGTTGTCAGTGTTTAATTAAGTTCTTCAGAACTTTTTTATATATTTATTCTAAATTTTTTCTTGTTATTAAAACAATACATTGGAATCTATACTCAAGCTTAATTCAAAACACATCTTGATGAGTCTAATATTTACTATTTGACTCAAAAAAATAAGAGGGTGTTTTGCACTGTTGTGACCTTTTGCAATTCCTATTTCCTCTTTTTTATTATTTTTTTTATTTACCAGTGTTGTCAAAAGAGACACAGACTGCAAAAGGTTCCACCAGGGCAAATCCCCGCATAGTCACATTGGACATTATGTACACACCTCATAATAAAGTCCTGTGTTTTTATCAGACCCGTTGCAGTCAGTGTTGCAGACTTTGGAGCGGCAGCATGAAGAGGAGAAGCGCTGTGCTCTGGAGAGACAGAGGCTGATGTACGAACAGGAGCTACAGCAGCTCAGGCAGAGACTCAACCCAGAGAAGCCCTCCCTCCTAGATCCGGGAAGTCCCACCAGTGTTACAACTAGTACTACAACCACTAGCCCGGAGAGACGGACACGCCGCTGGAGTGAGGACAGGTGACACAATTTTCATTCATCTTTGGTTGTACAATAAAACCATAAAGTAAACCAGTGATTCAAGGTCTAATGCAGAGGACAGATTTCTCTATAGAAAATATATATACTTATAGGGCCTATATTACGCAAAATTGAGCTTTACAACATTTTATAATGTTACTTCATCAAAAACATAGCTGGAGTGTTTTGTTTCATTCACACATACTTGAGTAATCTTGGATTATTAGTCTGCATTTGTCTACATCTCCAAAGCTCAAAATGCTCTGTTCTACCTTGTTATGCGATGAAGCTATAATTTTCAAGTTAACAGCTACCTTTTACCTTTAGTTCAGTAGAGATTGGTAGTTCCAGGGCTGAAATTATCTAAATGATTCTAGTGAAGGTGTATGGAGCTCTTCCTGTTTTACCATGACATCATCATGTAAAACAAAGTGTTTTCTGTTTGAGAGAAGAACTCTGCCTAAATATGCAGGGTTTGTTAAATGTGTGAATGAATGAGGTACCAACATTATAACATAGATCAGGAAATAGCATTATATGGACATATTGCATTTTCAGAGAGGCGATGATGACCAGGAGCCTGCGTCGTCTCAAAGAGCAGATTGTGAGGGCGAATCTTCTGGCTCAGGAGGCTGGGTTCATTGCAGAAGAACTGAACAAGAGAACAGAGTACCTGGTCACTCTGCAGATACCCGCAGCCAATCTGGACGCAAACAGAAAGGTACGAGATCACATGTTTTCCCCATTAGTAGGCCTGTCGCTATAACAAATTTTGGAGTGTGATATTGCTGAACTAAATATAGATGATAAATGATAATATTAAACCTAGCTAACACTGACACAATAACAATAAAGCAGATCTATCTGTTTTTAATTGTATAATATTGTGAAAAATTATGAGGTACAAAAAATAAAGAGCAGAATGAAATGTTTTGGTAATTTAACTTTTTACGTGTTAAATGTTGTCATATAGTAAAAAAAATTAACCAAAACACTTCGAGTAGTACACAATAAAAGTACACAAGATGAATATTGACCCCAAAGATTCAAAGTTTCTTCAAATGTGTCTAAATCACAACATGACAAAACCAGGGCTTATAGGGGCATTATGTTGCTTTTCTGGTATATGATCCACCACCTGCTTGTCCCTATGACAGGTTTATGTTATGTTTTGCCAGCAGTGTTTCTCAGTGTTGAGATTAAATTTATTCATTTAATGTCTGGTGGTATAAGCTGTTTGTTTCCATAGAGATTTAATGCCAAACTTGAAACATTCTTGGCAAAGCAATAACATCGCCTTGCAGACAGACAGTTGGTAAACAAGCCAGTAGAAAGTTACATAGTAGACATTTTTAAAGGTCCTATATTATACAAAATTGACTCTTGTGAGCGTTTAGCTATGTTATAATGTTGTTACTTCTTCAGAAACATACCCGGAGTTGTGTTTTGCTCTTTGTGATCTTGTGATGCAGTAGTTTTCAAGTCAATAGCTATCTTTTGACTTTTATTCAGTAGGGATAGGAAATTCCAAGGCTGAAATGAACCAAATGATTCTAGTGAAAGGTGTATGGAGTTTAAAACACAGTGGAGCACTTCCTGCATGACATCTTAAGGTGGAACAGCATGTTTGAGAGAAGAGAGAAGAATGTTTGTATGTTAAATGTGTGAATTAAACAAAACACAACTACAGGTATGTTTTTGATGAGGAAACAGCATTATAACATACATCAGGAAATAGTGAAATAGGGGATCTTTAATTAGAACTTAATTTGCAAAAACCAAGAAACAGTTGGGTGAGCAGAGCATCCTATAAATTTCTGTAATAAGTGACGTCATTCCTTACAAACAAATTTATCAACATGTACAAGTGTAATATTAACAAAAAAAAAACAAAAACATGCAAATCATTATAGTTGTATATCTCCAGTATTTATATTATTCACACTAGATGGCAACAACTTCTGGTACCATGCATTTTTGTCAGGTATTAATTCCTATTCTGTATATTCTTAGCGTGATGCTGTGTTGAGCGAGCCGGCCATCCAGGTGCGTCGTAAAGGCAAAGGGAAGCAGATCTGGGCCTTGGAGAAGATGGAGAACAGACTGGTGGACATGAGGGAGCTGTACCAGGAGTGGAAGGACTTTGATGAAGACAACCCCGTCAGTTAAACCCTGATGCAAATATCTTTTAGTTTTGAGTTTAATTTTGTATATTATTTAGAACAATATTTCTAACAACACTCATTGAAGAATGAGTATTAATACCTTTTACTGTCTTTGTCTACTCTGCTCTCAAAAAGAAAAAAAATATATTGTTGTTGTTGAAAGAGCGTGACTGTCCCTACAGACAGTTGTTTCTTTGTCATGATTCAACATTGGACAAAGATGTTGAATCATAAGAGGGCAGTTCTAACAGTTCACTTTCAAACATGTTTTTCAGTCATGGTTCAAAATCATGTACAGGCCCTTTAATCTAATCTAATTTAAGTATCTTGTGTCTTCTCAGGTGATGCGGTCATATTTCAAACGCGCTGATCCGTTCTTCGATGAGCAGGAGAACCACAGTCTGATCGGAGTCGCCAACGTGTTTCTGGCCAGTCTGTTTTATGATGTGAAGCTACAGTATGCAGTGCCCATCATCAACCAGAAGGGGGAGGTAAACTGGCACTTGTCTATCATAGGAACTGATTTACTGTTGCCTTCTTTTCTGCTGCCATTTTTTAAGAAATCTGAACAATACATTTGAAGAACAAGATAATATTTTCATGATTAAACTGGAAACACTGTACTGAAATTAATTTCTTGATAAATGAAAAGCAATAACTGACCTTTCAAAATGTTGGGGAAAAAAAAACAAGTACAATAAATTCTAAACAATGTTGCACCATCACCACTTAAAGGGCCCATATTACGCTATTTTCTGATTTATGTTACAATGTTACTTCATCACAAACACACCAGTGTTGTGCTCTCTTTCATTCAAATACAAACCGTGTGTTCTTTATGCTGTGTTCTTCTCTCAACACTCTGTTCCACCTTGTGATGTCATGTGGTAATACAGGAATTGCCAATCTCTACTGAACTAAAAGTACTACAACTACTTGACATTACAAGGTAGAACAGAGCATTCTGAGCTTTGGAGATGTAGACTAATAATAAAGGATTACTCAAACATGAATGAAACAAAACACTACTCCAGGTATGTTTTGAGGAGATAACAACATTCTAACGTGGCTTAAAACTCACAAAAGTCCATTTTGTGCAATATAGGATCTTTAAGAGATTTGTTAAGCTTTTCTCTGTGTGCACCATTAGAACATACAGAGCCATAAGTCACTATGACGGCAGACTCCCCAAACTCAGCTCTACCTTTGCACAGACTTCTCAGACAAAGCTCCCAGACAGGCTTAAACTCTTCTCTAACCCGAGGGGTTTCTCTTCTGTTACAAAAGTCCTTTTAGAGAGTCAACTCTGTCAGCACTCATTTTGTATTTACATGTGTTGAATTGTAATGTAAGCCTATGTGATATTTTTATTTGCTGCATGTCAAATTTTTATTCAAAACTGTGGGAGAATGCATGGTTTGAAATTGTAAATGGGTGAATATTTGAATGTATTTTAATTGTGTTTGTTAACCTGCCTGGGGACTGCAGATGGAAACCAGCTTTAGCTAAATCTAGTGTAAAGCATCTCTTCCTTTATGAGCTTAATGCATTTCTAAAGCGACTTTGAGCATCTGGAAAAGCGTATATAAGATAAATGTATTATTAGCATTATTACTGAAACAAAGAAAAAAAGAATGAAAAAAAGAAAATTAAAGACGAGAGACTAGTCTTCATTAAGTTTTTAGACTACGAAATGGTGGTGCAGAATAATGCTATTAGTCCTGTGTTTGACACATTTAACTCTGTATTTTCTTGTTATGCTTCAGGTGGCTGGTCGGTTGCATGTGGAGGTGTGGAGAGGCACTGAAAGCTCAGAGGACAGCTCATCTCTTGTGGACTCTCTGAGCTGCACAGATGGAGAGACACAAGAACGCAGACTCTACTGTGTGGTGAGGAGGAGATAATGATAATAATCATAATGCTCTTTTAGTGTTTATCCTGTGAGACATAGGCTGTGTTCACACTTTGATCCCTTTTTAGTCCTGAATAATGATATAGATCTGATTTGGTGTAGGTTTATTACAACTTTAGTTCTCGGTCTATTCACTATTAAAGGTGTAACTGCATTGTGTAACTTTGTCTGGAATGTTTCACAGTATGATATTAAACCTTTCTATCTTCATGGAATCCAAACCAGACCAAATTACTGGTCACAAGGCAACCCAGCTCACAGTCAGAATGCCTGTTTTTATGCAATTGAATACATGTAAGGTAGAGCTGTATAATGTCATACTGTGGAACATTCCAGGCAATGACATACCCAAAGAAACAAGCAGGTGACAGACCCCCAACCAAAAAGTTACTTAGCACCTTTAAGTCCCAATTTTGATGCAAGTGTGAGATAATGGGCAGATTGAAACTGAAGAGCTTTTGATCTGAAGATATTTAGAAATGGGTTATTGTTAATTTTACTTTAATATAAATATAATTTCTTGATCCTTCCCTTCATGAAGCAAAAAACAATGTAAACTTTGATGTTATTTTTAGTTTTAGCTTGAATAATGAATACTTATTGGATTCAGCTACACTAATACGGTTTTTGCCAGTAGACAGAGGAGCATAACAAGAGACTAAAATTGCTGACAAATTGTTTTTTTTATTTATTTTCCAAGTTAAACCTGAAATATTGTTTAATTAATATTGTAAACTATAGCCCTTTGCACCTACATCCCAGCATCATTCAGTATTTCTTTGTTGCTTATTTCAGGTGAAGCTTCTGCAGGCCACAGGACTCCCTCGGCATCTGTCCAACTTTGTGTTCTGTCAGTATCACTTCTGGGGTCAGGAGGAGCCTGTGTTTGTGGCCCCTGAGATGGACTCCCCCTCTTCCCCCTCCTCCTCCCGGGACCCCCAGTGCACTGTGGTTTTTGACAGTGCCAAGGTCAGAACACGAGCAATTAATTTAACAAGAAAGTTTGTTTAGTCCTGTTTTAGCTTGATTGTTTATAGTTTGTTTATCCCTGAAAATACAGTTTGCTTGTTTATCTATTTATCTATTTATTCATTCATTCATTCATAAAAAACTGATTTATATTACATAATTTTTGTATATTTCTTTATCTGCCTTGACATTCTATATTTTAAAACATTTTATATATTAGACTCAACAATGTTTAATGTGTTAAAAGGACACAGTCTAAAAACCTTATGTCATGTAATATTAGCAGTATTATTGAGAAAATCATTGTACTCTGTTTCATCACTGTATAATCACTGTATTACTTACATTCAGTTTGTCAAGAATCCAAGGATGTGATTGTTTTCTCTTGGTGTATTTTTAGGAGCTGGTGGTCTCTGTATCAGAAGACTTCGTGGAGTACCTGTCTGAAGGAGCCGTGGCGATAGAGGTGTACGGTCACAAACAGGCCAATCACCGCAGGAACCTGGCTCTGTGGGACCTGGGCGTCATCCAGGCCAAGACTCGATCTCTGAGGGAGAGGTACGAGGAGAGTGCACATTAAATTAGCCTAAAAATAATAATTTTTAAACAGTCATGTGCTACCAAATGTTAAAATCAAGGTAAAGCAAGTTCAAATTGGAGGTGGATCCTTGTCATTTTTGAAAAGTGACTTTGTTCCAGCTTTTGAGGGCAGAACCTGAGCCCATCAAATTATTGAGTTGTTTTTGTAATTTTTGTAATTGATTCAGAATCAGAATGTTCATTAATAGCCCCACAAACAATTTGATGCAATTTGCTTTTGGTACAGCAAGGAAGCTCATATTACAAACAGACAAAATATTAAACAAAATTGTGTTTTCAGTCCAGAGTTTGATTGAGTATCCTTGTGGCTAGGCCTGTCAAGATAATTACTCATGGGTACTTTTTCTTTGCACTAGCGATGAACTTTGTTATTTTTTTCTCTTTTGTGATTTAGATTGAACTTTAAAGGGCTGGATGAATCACTGTGACTCATTACAACTAACTACTAAATTTTTCATTCTGCTATTTATTTATTGCTTTTTACTATTTCTTTATTTATTGAGAGATTTAGATTTATTATTTATGATTTTTTTTAAATCCATTTTACATAGTACATGAATACTTTTTTGAGGATAATTCTACTTAAGGGTTGTTTGTCAGTGGCAGAAATTAGTTTTAGTATTATCATTTATCGTCTGTATATATTACTGCATAGCCCTGGCCTATGCAAACACAACCTGTTTAGTCTCTTAAAGTGACAGCAGCCCCCACGATTGTGTGTCCCCTGTCAGGTGGAGCGAGGTGACACGTCGTCTGGAGCTGTGGGTGCAGCTGATGGAGCTGAACGACGCTGGAGACTTCACACCTGTGGAGGTCACGGCCGCTAAAGATGTGCGCACCGGGGGCGTGTTCCAGCTCAGACAGGTACAGCGCCAGATGATCAGCAGTTTAAGGCTCTCATAAGTGTGTTTAGCTGGCTGTATCAGAGCTGAATCATTTGACTTCACGTTCTAAACTGCACAACTTATGAGCAACGTCTTTTGTTGAAAAAAAAATTCATGTCATGTGGTAATACAGGAAATGCTGCAATATGTTTTTAAACTCCATACACCTTCACTAGAATAATTTGGATAATTTTAGCCCTAGAATTGCCAATCTGTGCTGAATAAAATGTAAAAGAGAGCTGTTAATTTGAAAACTACCGCTTCATGACATCACGGTGAAACAGAGCATTTTGAGCTTTGAGTTTAAATAGACGAATAATAAAGGATTACTCATAATAATAAAGGAATACAACATGTGTGAATGAAACAAAACACGACTCCAGGTATGGTTTTTAGGAAGTAACAGCATTATAACATGGCTTAAAGCTCACAAGAGTAAATTTTGTATGATATAAAACCTTTAACCCTAACTGTTTGACCTGGAGTCAGTTTTTTGAATAATCACAAGCAGGTACAGAAATGTAGGTGGAAACATACATTTTCTTAGCACCCAAGCCTTCAATGCAGTACAATACAGGATTACTCAAACCAGTAATTAACCAATACTTCTTCTGTTTGTTGTATAAACTGCAGGGTCAGTCTCGGCGTGTACAGGTGGAGGTGCGCTCTGTGCCGGACTCTGGGACCATGCCTCTGATCGCTGCCTCCATCGTGTCCGTTTCCATCGGCGACGTCAAAGTCCGACAGGCTCCTTCATCCAAAGCTGCTGAGGCACACTGGGTAAGACATCAAACACATTCACTTTAGAAGATTTATAAGAAGGAATACTGTGTTTTGACATCATGCTAAACAGTAATTATGGGTATGTTTATTTCAGGGTGACAATGAAGAGTTGGACAGCTATCAAGTAAGTAGCAACTCTTATACATGTCTTAAAGGGACTGCATCAAAAACTTTTTCCATGTTATAATTCTGTATCCTCATCAAACGTGTGTTTTTTAAAAATAATATACAACACATGTCTAGTATCCTAATTCTTCGCTGAAATAAGTTGTGGAGTTTGGCCATTATGTATAGCTAAAAACTAGCAAGCTAACAGCGCAATGACAACATTCTGATTGGCCCCTTTTGCAGTACACAATTTAGGACCCACTTTACTCATCTAGCATGTGATAATGTCCCTCATTAAGATAATACAAGTTGTCTTCCTTTTCACAAATCCATTCATTCAAAAATTATGTGTAAATACTTTTTTGTTTTTCCGTTAAACTGGTTAGAGGGGTTTTATAGTCATTTTTAAGTGCTACTGGTAATTGTCTCCTCTGGTGTTCAGGAGGTAGATCTGGAGCGCATGAGGCAGCAGTGGCTCTTCACCTTGACTCAGAGACAAGAATATCTGGACCAACAGCTGCAGAAGATCGTTTCTAAACCAGGTACTGCTTCAATGGACTTGGATATGAGGAGCAAAACATGATTCATTTTTAGTCATACCACCAAACCCTCTCAGAATCTGTAATTAACTGTAATATTCACAGTATAGCAAAATGTCCATGTCAGTTATTCTCTAATACAGCAGCATATCTCATTGTTACATTACCAGACACACCCAACACAGCCAAAAAGGTTTTATGATCATCTGAAAACTCGAGAAAAAATACAAATTGGATTGGGTCTGTGATCAGTGTGAGGGTTCATGATCTTGTTGAGGAGGATTCTGTTGTGTTTTCCACAAAAAGGTGTGAGTGACTAACTAACTGCAATGTTATTTAGTTAAACTGCACAAACTATCTCACCTGTTGTAGTTCCAACCTAGTTTGCTCTATCTTGGCAGACTGTCAAAATAAAGCTCAGATTAAGTCCAATTTGTGTAACAGAGCTTCTAACAGAATAGTGCTTCCAGTTAGCTTCACACCTCCAGCGAATGTTGACCATCCAGCAGCAAAATATCAGTACACAACCAACAAACCTATAACTTTGCAATCACCCTAATTTTGTTATTTCAATACATTGTTAGTGACAGTAATGTTAATGTTTATTTTAGTAGATTGTTAGTAATGTTAACATTATTTAAAGGTGCATTGTGTAACTTTTCTGATGGAGAAAAGCATTTGGGCCCAATCAGATGCTTTTCTCCATGGAGATGTTACTGCTTTCCTTGAAATGTTTCACAGCATGGTATTAAACCTTTCTATCTTCATGGAGACCAAACCAGAACCAAGGTGCAGGTCAGATCTGTGGAGAGGTGACCATGCTTACAGTCAGAATACCTGTTTTTCTGTGTGTGTCTGGGTTTCTGGGTGTTTTTGAACTATAAAACTACCATTAATTTAATACATGTAAGGGAGAAATAATGGTAATAAACTGAGAAGCAATAAAAAAAAAACATGACATATCCATAGAAACAATCAAGTGACAGACCCCCTACCAAAAAGTTACATAGTGCACCTTTAAATACAGTAGTAGTGCTTTTAATCTGAACATGCCCCTGTGTTCAGATAAATCAGAGGACGATGTGGAGAGAGAGTCTCAACTGCTGGAGTGCCGTCTGACCCTCACTGAGGAGAGGAATGCTGTGCTGGTGCCCTCTGCGGGGAGTGGCATCCCAGGAGCCCCAGCTGAGAGGTTTGTGTTCGACTGGGTCTAGAGGGCAAAACAAAATGATTATGTCCTTGTTCACTAGAGGTGGAGAACTACAGTTATAAACAATATATCACCAATTGCTGTTATGAAAGGTCCTCTATAGGTCAGATATTTCCAGAATTTTAAGTAAACCACTTTTTTGTTGGTTTTGTTGGGGTGGCCCTTGTTTAGAACTAGTTAGAGCAGGTAGGTAGCCCCCTTTTCTGTCCTTGTTTAGAACTGGAAAATCCTGTTTTAGATCTTGTGGTACTTTGAAGGCCAAATCTTTTCTTAGGTGGTTCATACTTCATATAAAAATGGTTGTTTCAAAAGTATGCACAGTTTGAAAATCTATTATGTTTTGTATGATTAGAAAAAAAAAAAAAAAAAAAACAAGGAAAAAAAAAAGAGTTGATTAAAAAAAACAACAACTTTGGAATAGTATTAAATATGAGATACTAGGCTTATTTCAGCCCTTGTCTGATGCATTGCACAAATGTCATAAATATTTGTAGGATCCCAAAAAAATATTGAGATCGTAGTGTCTGTCAGTATCACACACTTCTATTGTGTTTTATTGTTTTGTTTTCTGACACATTGCAAAACAGCAGACAGAAGTGGCAGTTTCCATCTCAAAGTTGTGATTGATGTAAGTTTAGCCCGTTAGAGCTGTTTAGTGAGAGATGCGCGCTCTTCTGTGTCTGTTGTGCTAATGATGTGTTAAAGGCGTGAAGTCACTGTCTGACAGAGTGTCTCCCCCAGGGTCCCAGTCCCAGGAATGGAAACGCACATCCCAGTCCTCTTCCTGGATCTCAGCGGTAAGTTAATGTCATTTTTCCTATGAGCATGACAGATATAAGGGTCTTGTATGGATTTGATTTCAGCTGATATGACATTTAAAGTGCGTATGACAGGTTTCGATGATTCTCCAAATTTGACTTAACTTGATGGGATAATATATGCTGCAAATATAAAGGATAGTTTTACACAAATCATTAAACACTTTGTAAAAAAAGGTTTAAGGAAGAAGAGAGTTATATTTTAGATAAGTCCATGATGACGTCACATTTTTTCAGTTTTTACTTTATTTTATTCCCTTGTGTGATGTCACGATTTCCAACCAGGAAGTAGAATTTTAAACCTAAAAACGGCAGAAGTGGGGAAAAAAGATACAGTTTAGTTAAATCTTAAATATAATGACCTTAGGTGTGTTTTAGTAAATGAGTAGTCTTATCTGTCACCATGGAAATGTTACTGCTTTGTTCCACAGTATCACGAGGGAGATAAGCAGTTTACAGCACTATGCTACATTACAATTCAGATCTTTGGCATCACCCTTTTCAGAATGGGAAATGTTTAATGTCATACCATGGAACATTCCAGAAAAAACAATAACATCTCCATGGAGACAGGCCGGTAGCAGGCCCTCCACCAATAAATATTTGGTATCTGTATAAATATTTTTAAACATATGGCAAAGCCCACATATTGAAGTAGATTAGTAGTTCACAATTTTCCTTTTCACTTGAAAAAATAATAACACGATCATTTTATCTGACATAATATAATAATGATGATTTTGAAAACATACAAGTGCCTCATTAGCTTCAGTGCTCATCTATTACATACATTCATATACATTTAATAATATCTGACAAAAATTACTGGCCCAAATTTTCCCAATATTCCCAGTAAACACGGCTATACAGAGCCTTATAAACTAAAGCTTAGGTCCTTGTTTCTGCAAAGTTGATTCATTTTGTTGAATTTAGTATTTTTGTGTTTTTCTCTCAGCGGATGATTTCCAGTCCAGACTCTCTGCTCCACTCTCCGGGGGCCTGGATGCTTTGCTCAGTGAGGAAGATGAGGATGAGTTCTTCGACCTGCACATCGTCAAACATTATGATCCAAAGGTAATGGGGCTGTTAGAATAAAGTAGGGCAATTCCTCTTGACAAATTCACTGTATTCATTGCTTTTTCTACTATTAATCCCACTGCTTTTTAGTGAACAATTTAAAAACTTTTCTGGGGGACTGGTGTTGCAAATTAGCCTAAGGTATAATCACTGTGCTACCTGCATCAGATTACTGAATTGTTAATCTATGTTTGTTATATCAAATAAACAATTAATAAATAGTAAATTATCCTGAAAATAATTTTACCAACTACCGTTGGTAAAATTACTGTACAATTGTTTTAATAATTAGAATTTTTTCCCCTCTCTAGCCAAGTCTCAAGTGTAATCAGGTAACTTCATTTTTTATTCATGTTTAACCAGACATCTATAGAGCCCATAGTGACAACTTTTTGCATTTACCGGTAGCTTCATAGTTACTGTAATATTAGTTATTAGATGAAGTATTAGTTAGTTTGTCCCATAGACTGTATAAAGAACTGGACTAAAGGGCTGTGCCCATATTTGACCTCCAGTCAAATAAAGCTCACAAAGCTTGAAGTTATAGGAGTGAATTTGGAGTGGAGGTCCTTATTAAGAATAGGAATTTAGTTATGGACAAAATAGCAAAATAAAAAACAGCAGGATCATGTAGAGCAGGTTAATACGAGCATTTTAAGACCAAAATTACGAGGCTCACTTCAGCAGTTACAGAGAGAGAGGTGACAATATTTCAATGTAAATTGGAGCCAGAGTTGATGGAGCCGGAAGCGCCCCTAACCTTCGGCAGCTAGCAGGTTTGTTATGTCCATTTATTTATACAGTCTATGGTTTGTCCCAATCACACATGTTAATTTTTACTAAGTTCTGTATTCTGTCTTAATGTCTTGTGCTATGGTAAAAGTTACATAATGGGCATAAAGAATTTTTGTGTTGTTTTTTACAGGTGAAGGTGGAGGCGTCCTGGGACTCCACAGTTCACGAGTGCCCAGAGCTGAGCCGAGCGGGGGCCCCAGACCTCAGGGTTTATCTGACTGTGAAAACTGTGGTGCAGCTGTCCCACCCTGCCCACATGAGGCTGTTACTACGGAAACGCATCTGTGTCAGCGTCACCGGGAGACAGGTCAGATACAAAAACGACTATTGAAATTAGATATGAGTTTGTAAGTATCAGTACTAATACTGAATTCTGTATAGTTTTTGAATGGTCTTGATCTATTTCGGGGCTTGTAGATCACATATTATAGGAAATACTATTATTTTGCATTGAATATTGTGTATTGTAAAAAGGGAGTGTTTTTTATTATCACTGTGCTATTGAGTTTCGAGTATCAAAAATAATATTTCAAATTCTACAATGTTAAAACTAAGCTTCTTTTTATCCAAATATACAATATTGTTACTAAAAAATAAATTAATATTAATATTAATTAAATAATACTAATGTATCAATATCTGGTCTGTGTCTGACAGGGTTTTGCTCAGAGCCTCCTGAAGAGAATGTCCCAGCGTAGCACCATCCCTGGCTGTGGAGTCACCTTTGAAATCGTCTCCAACATCCCCGGGGTGAGAAGAACGGTGCACACTGCATCAACTCTGCGTAATTACTAAACATTATTATTCTGAGGTAAAATATTGTATTACAAATTTCACAATAGTCGACACCGCAACTGACCATTCTTTAAAGGTGCACTATGCAACTTTTTGATTGAAGTTTTGTCATTTGCTTGTTTCTATGGATATGTCATTGCTCTGCCTGGAATGTTCTACAGTATGACATCAAACAGCTCTACGTTATATTAAAATATATTAAAATACTAGTTTTACTACTCAAAAATACCAATAAAACAGGCATTCTGACTCTGAGTGGGGTTGCCTCTCCACAGATCTGACCTGTAACTTGGCCTGGTTTGGTCTTCATAAAAATATAAAGGTTTTATACCATACTGTGAAACATTCCAGCCAAAGCTACAATATCTCCATGGAGAAAATCATTTGACGGACCCCCCAGGAGAAACATTACACAGTGCATTTTTAGGGCCTATATTACTGTATTTTAAGACTAAAAACATCACACAGTATGATCTGGTCTACAGTGAGTTAAAAGCCAAAGCAAAATGTGTGTGTGTTTTTTTTTGTTGTTGTTGTTGTTGTTTTTTTTAGAGAAGCCTCATTACAACCATTATTTATGTATTTATAATTCTCACACGCCTCATTATTGGCTCTATTGTTCATTCAATGTATTCAGGACATCCACGGGCCGGAAGACAGGGAGATGCTCGCTCGACTGGCAGCCAGTGCAGAGGAGGATCCCACAGCCGACAGTGAGGCCGCCATAGAGAAGTACCTGCGCAGTGTCCTTGCTGTGGAGAATGTGCTCACTTTGGACAGGCTCAGACAGGTCAGGGGTCACACAGGGCAGAGCAAAAGTGTACAGATTGGAGATGTTAAAATGGAACAAAACACACAATTCTACAATAAACCTTTTACTGATGGGGTCCACAAAGTCAGTTTTTCCTTCAGCTATGATTAATTAGTATCACTAATTCATAGGTTTCAAGTGATGAAAAATGTTTATTGTTGCCAAAGAAATTTGAATTTCTCAAATAAATAAAATTTAGAGGAATGTGTTGAATAGCTGAACTTAATATCCTGGCAAAGATTACATAATCTGCTTTCCACCTTTATGATTAAGTAATATTCTGTTGCAAATAATTAAATAATTTATTTGAACTGACAATGAATGTTAAACATCTTATTGAATTGGTTTAGTAGATATTTAGTAGATATGTCCTGAATATAACTCCTTCTTTGTTATAGTCTTTATATGTGATATATCTGCTTACAGGAGGTGGCTGTGAGGGAACAACTGGCCATGAGAGGAAAAGCCCAGAGGCACAGTCTGAGCTCTCCAAGTGTGAACCAGGTGAAACATTTATGTTTTATATTATAGTGTTTATATTATCTGTGTGTGGCAACTAATACCCAACTTGAGCTTGTTAACATCTTTCTGGGACTATGTTATGTTCATATTCTTGAAACAAAGGTTATGTAAAAATCTGATAGAGTGCAGGGTTCAGTCTAAATGAATAAACATTAAGAATTCCCCAAATAAGTTATCCATGAGTTAAGAACCTGAATTTGAGATATTAATGTTGTGAATGTTTGCTGTGCTGTCCAGTGGGAACAGTGAAACCAGTATATAATGAAATGATATTGTAATAACAGAATCTGTTCATGTTCTCCATCTCATTCTCACTCTGTAATAAAGGTCTCATATTACGTTATTTTGATGTTATAATGTAATTTCCTCATCAAAAACATACCTGGAGTTGTGTTTTTTGTTTCATTCGTACAATTTTTAACACACAGACCCCTCATATTTAGGCTGTGTTCTTTCTCACAAACAGAAAACACTCTGATCTACCTTGTGATGTCATGTGGTTACACAGGAAGTGCTCCACTGTGTTTTTAAAGTCAATAAACCTACACTAGAATCATTTGGATGATTTTAGTCCTGATTGTCAATCTGAGCAAACGTAAAAGATAGCCATTAACTTTAAACAACAGCTTCATGGCTCAAGGTGGAATACATTTTGAGTGTAGGAGATGTAGACAGAGTAATAAAGGGCTACTCAAACATGTGAGAATGAAACAAAACACAATTCCAGGTATGTTTTTGATGAGGTAAGAACATTATAACATGACTTAAAGCTCACAAAAGTCCATTTAGCGTAATATAACACCAACCTCACTTGAAAGCTATCTATTAACTCTTACCTACTGTTGTAAGTGCATTATTAACTATTCACTAACCAGCATTAACTCACTAACCTTTGGCTGTGCAGCTGTCCTCCAGTTCCTTGGACCTCTCCTCATCTACTCACAAACTTAATGACATCAAGGTGAGATTGAATGCCAAGTAGTGCCATGACCTTGTTCTACTATGGGTTCTTTTTTTGCATTTTCTCAGTTGTGCAATGTGTTTTTTGTATCTAATTCTTATATGAGACGTGGGTTAGTCAGGTTATGGCCTCTTTGAATATTGTAATTAAAAGTAATTTTAAATGGCCTCTGGTGCATTACTGTTAGAAAACTGAATGGTGATTTTTGTGACTTCAGGGTTGGGAGAGTCACCAGGACTTGTCTCTGAAGCCTTCTCCAGCTAAACCTGCTGCTCCCTCCAACTCTTCAACTCTGACCCGGAACCTCCACCCAGACACTGGTAATATATTTTCAACACAATTTTTTTACTTTTTCTTTTTTACTAAGATCATTTTATAGGGACTATGTGATTGATTTGATTTGATTCATGTAACACTTTGTCAACAATAAAAACAAGTTCATTTAAGTCTGTTAGTTGTTATGGTGAAATTTCAATATGAAGAGTAAGGCTTCTTAGTTCTGAAATTTTGAAAATGAATGACATGAAATGACTGATATCTATTATTAAGTTGGTGTAGATCAATTTTCAAATTAAAAATGTTTTAATGAAAATGTAAAATCATGTTCTACAACAATGTTACAGTTGAGCACAATATACTTAAGGCTATATGAAGTATATTGTTTGGACAGTGGACACAGTAATTTGTTTTAAAGAATTTACAGTGTATTGCAAACAAGTGAGAAAATTGGAATGTGGAGTTTTCTGTAAATGTTTTGTGGAAAAATATAAATTTGTTTTTTTGTCTAGCTGATTGAACCTCAAATCAGCTGTGCATTTTTTCATCAATTGCTTTTTTTCTGCCTCCAACCTTTGCTAAAAAAAATCCTTCTCACGACTCAGTTTCCTCTTAATTTTCCAAATGTGTTTCTTTTCTAATATTTTCCATCCCTTCTCTTTTTTCTCTGTCTTTCCATGTTTGTACGTTTGTGTACATTATTCAGGTTTTGCTGCATCTTTTTTGCCCCCAGTGAAATCAGTGCCCCGTCTGCTCATGTCTCTACTTCCTGGAGGCAAAGAGGAGAAATCGAACCAGCTGCCTTCCCCTCCTCCTCAGGTACACTCCACACAGCACCTACAGATTTGAGGTAAACGCGCATCACAGAATTCAGAACGGACACATACGCACATTCGCTGCTATTTCTGTCTCCTGTCGCCATGGGAACAGAGGCAACATACAGAAGGCAAACAATAGAAAGATAAAGACAGGAAGTGAGAAAGGCAAAGAGTGACTATCAGGAGTTTCATGTAAAGAATATTAAAGAGTTCATTTGCAAAAACGTCACCAGAAGCTTGCATTTCATTCCTTGTATAATATCATTTTCAAAAGCCAAGTGCGTTTACTGTTATCAAAATATTATTCCATCCCTCCTTGATTAAGTCCATTCATAATTATATTAATACTTATGGAAGTACTTTCTGGTATTTTTTTAAAATGGGTATACCTGTTTTTGTGATTGAACTCTTATATTGTCTCGTGGCAGTGCTGAGAGGCTGAATTCTTGTGATTTAAGATTACGTTTTTGTTTGTGTGCATCAAGACCTTTTGAACAAGACTGCTGCTCGGGTGCTTAAAGTTTTAATCCAGTCTCAGCCAGTTGTCATTGTTTCTTTGAACTATAAGTGGGAGATATATTGAAAAGTGTATAATGTATAATAATGTCATAATATTGGATGCTAAATTAGAAAATTTTGTGTATTTATAATAAAAATGTAAGAACTATTTAAATTAAAAAAATAATAATACAGGCTTTTCATTGTAAGATTTCAAATTAGGGTTTCAAAGTTTGTTTGTTTTTCTTGATGTTCTTTTATACTCATTCACATTTTTACACATTCATGTTTTTCGAGCTCTTCAACTTCATTTGAAACTTCCCTGAGGGTTTGATGCTAACTGTAGGCATGCCTCTGTCTGAGGCTTGGCAAGAGTTTAATCTGATCTTCGTTTTAACACAATCTGACCGTAAAGAACTGATTGAGCTGGAGCTACAACAGGTTTGTCTGTGTTTGCTGATGTGTGCAATGTGTCTCCATGGTAACGCCAAAGCACTCCGCCATTAGAGATGCATGTAGAACACCCCCAGCGTGATGCCACTGCAAAGTATCAATAGGCAATAAGTACGGAGTGTTAGTGAGTAAGTGATTTTTGCATAGAGAAACCATTTGCACAGATTAACATTTCACATCCACGCACACAAAAATGTAATTGAAAATATTATTTTCTACAGGTAAATTGAAGTCTCTAAAATAAAATTTTAGGAGTAAAGGTCTTGGCAGGTGTCTAGACTCTGATTGGTCCTCTGTGTGTCTCTGTATTGGGATGCAGTGAGTGAATGAGAAACAGATGAAGCATTTGTCTTCAATCATGCTCCGTCTAAACCACAGAAGACAGCAGAGTCACCAGACTACAGTGGAGTTTATTGGTCTGATTAGCGGCTCACACAGAGGGGAGGCCAATCAGAGAGCGTTGTGTCTGTGTGGAGTGGAGACCCGCAGATCCTGTTGTTCAATTGTTTTAGATTCTGGTTCTAATGAGCACTTGTCTTCTCCCTGTGAGGCCCTGCTGTAGGTCAACACAACACAAAGAGATTATGCACTCAGAGATTAGCACAGCAGTAAAGGGAGATGAGTGTGAGTGTTTTTGAGAGAAGGCAGGCAGTGTTATAAAGCTATACTTTGATGAGAATATATGTTACTTTAAATTTCATATAGATATCAAATGAGAAAAAAATATCTACAAAAAATAAGATATTATATTCAAGGAGCAAGTCCATATTTTTGGGTTGTGTCATGTCAAATTGTTCTTTTTCTTATTTCAGTTCCATGAATGTTGCAAAATGAAAATACTCAGATACAATGTTCAGATTTGCCGTTTAGGAGTGGATGTAATAGTTTTTCAATTTCTATGAAATAAGTAAAATGTCAGAATAGTACTAAGGCACTAAACAGAACTGAAATAAATATCTACAACAGTGCTCTAAGGGACACATATTATGCTATTTTCTGATCCAGGTTATAACATTGCTTCCTCATCAAAAAAATACCAGGAGTTATGTTTTGTTTTATTCACACATATTTAACTTGCAAAGCCTGCATATTTAGGTTGAGGCTCTTCAAACGGAAAACATTCTTCCACCTTGTGATGTCGTGGTAATACAGGAAGTGCTCCACTGTGTTTTTAAACTCCATACAACGTCACTAGAATCATTTGGGGAATTTCAGCCCTGGACTTGCCAATCTCTACTGAACAAAAGGTGAAAAGTAGCTGTTAACTTGAAAACTACTACTACTATGTGACATCACAAGGTGGAACAGGGCGTTTTGACTTTGAAGATATAGAGTAATAACAGAGGATTACTCAAACATGTGAGTGAAACAAAACACAACTCCAGGTATGTTTTTGGGGAGGTAACAACATTCTAACATAGCTTAAAGCTCTCAAAAATCAATTTTGTGTAATATAGGACCTTTAATCTTTAAGAGAAGAAGCCAGTTAAAACAACTTGATGTGGAGAATATTGACAGTGAGTTTTTGTGTGAACTGTAGGATGCAGAGATGAACAGAATAACTGTGTTTGACCTCCTGAAATTTGACCCCACCACAGCGGTCAGTGTCAGTGGAGCCGTGACCCCAATCAAACGTCTGCTTCATAGTTCAGCTCTCACATGATTATAATCACATACAACTGTTCTGATTCATGAGCTTGTCTTAAATGAAAACATGCTGTAAATGAATTGACGATGAACAATAAAGCTCACTGGCTGTGGTTACATGTGCACTCTAAATCTGATTATTGTATGAGATTGAAATGACATGTAAATGGAAAAATCACCTTTCTTCTGATTTCTCTGATTACTCACATCAGATTTGGTGGGTTGCATGTCATTTAAATTATCTCAAATGTCCAAAAATTTGATAATCAGATTTTGGTGTACATGTGAACCTAGCCGCTGATTCTGTGGCATAATTCTGTGAATGTATGAATATTTGAGTAAAAATCTGGAGGAAATGGTGGTGATTGACATGTCAAGTGTCAAGTGTATAAGTTTAGTAAAGTATTAACTGGACAGTATAAAGCATATTTTAACAGTAATACAACCAGTGGCATGGTGCAAGTGAAATAAAAATAATGATATGATACGATACTAATTGAAAGTTTGATGTCTTCTGCAGCCCAGTCTTCCTCGGATCATGGTGCAGTCTGCCAGTGTAGAAGAAGGCCTGAGTCGACTACAACAACCGGTAAGACCAAAGTGACTGTTCAAACTCATGTGTCAATTCAGAATAATACCATTACTGAGCAGTGGGTGTTAAACAAAGAGCCTCCTCTGATACAGTTTTTGTGCTTATCTTATATTTAATCCTGTGTACTTTTGCTCAGATGTCATTTAGAACCAAATATCCATCCTGATAATAATAGTTTGATATTCATTGTTGATAATACTTCACCCAATCAACACAAACCTTGCATTTTATCAATTAGAACTGCATAAATTAAACTTGAATATTTGGCTCCACTATATAATAACTACACTTTAATTAGCCTTAATAAAGCATGATCAAAGACTTAATAATACACAAATAGTTTATTAAGAATGATTCAAGCTTCACAACTGTTGACTCTTGTGAGCTTGAAGCCATATTGTAATGTTTTTACCTCATTAAAACATACGGGTAGTTGTGTTTTCGTTCATTTAGACATGTTTGAGTAATCCTTTATTATTAATCTGTCTACATTTCGAAAGCTCAAAATGCTCTGTTCTACCTTGTTATGTCATGAAGCGGCAGTCTTCAAGTTAACCTCTGCCTTTTACTTTTAGTTCAGTAGAGACTGGAAATTCCAGGACTTGATTGATTGATTCTAGTGAAAAGCACTTCCTGTATTGCTACATGACATCACAAGGTGGAACAGAGTGTTTTCTGTTTGAGAGAAGAACTCAGTCTGACAACATTATAATATAAATCAGAAAAAGGGCCCATATTGTCCTATTTCTTATCAATAAGTGTTCCCAAATGTTGTTAAAAAGTCAACTATTTAACAACATTTTTTATTGTATTGAACTGCTGATTGACAAAAGAGACATTTTTTAAAAATGTATTAATTTGTTTGTTTTTGAAGGTTCCCATTGAGAAAATCATTCCCTGTGACATCACACTGGAGAGCCCTAAACCGGTCCATGCTCCGCCTCCTATCGTCCCGGAGACAGAGAACTCCACCTCAAGTCCTGTCAGCGAATCGTCCAGTGGGTACATGTCCACCAGCATTTCCACGGCAACGCTATCCGACGTCTACACCCTGAGCTGGGACCTGCCGCCTCTGTCCAGCATCCAACCAGAAGAGGAGGAGGAAGATGGCGAAGTCACAGTTGGGGATCGGGAATTTCTACTGGACAAATCGCTTACAGAGGAATTGGAAAAAGATTTGCAAAAACGTCAACTTCATCAAGAACAAATAAACAGTGAGACATCTGAAAAGGTAGTTCACCAATGTGATTTAGACACCAAAAATGTGCAAGAAGTCGAAATTCTTGCTTCGAATGATGTAAAGACAATGGACTCTATAGTGGTAGACAAGGAGGAAGGTACAAATAAGGAGATGGACGCCAAAAATCCTGTAATCAATGGGGCAACTTCAATTATAAACCAACAAAAAGCCAATGAACCAATTCAGACATCAGCTCTTGAAATATCCAAAGTAGACGATAAAGACTTTGAAGAAATTGTACTTGAAAATGACCAAATTTTAACTGTAGATACAGAAGTTGAACTGGCAGATCAGTCTGAAACAACTGTAGTCAAAGAACAATCTTCTCGCTTGATATCAGAGGAATCTAAACATTTAAATCTAGTTTCAACCCAAAATGAAAATTCAAGGTCAAAAGAAGATGAGGCAGAAGAAGAGGTCCAATCAGAAAATAATGAAAAGCCTATGGAGCAACTACAACCACTGGGGCAAGAAGGGGTTATAGAATCAACTGTAGATTTGGATGTGAATGTTCAAGAAGTTCAGGAATCTACAGATAACCAACAATCTTCTAACATGAAATCTGAAAAAAATGACTCTTCAGTTACTGTTTCAACAATTGCACAGGAAGAAGAAACATTAACATTTGAAAATGATCAGTCAGAAAATAATGACAAGTCCATGGAGGAACTACAACCATTGGAGCAAGAAGAATCAGCTGTAGATTTGGATGGGCAAGTTCAGGAATCTAAAGATAACCAACAGTCTTCTAACAAGAAATCTGAACAAGTGGACTCTTCAGTTACTGTCACAACATTGGCAACTGAAGGAGAAACATTGACACTTAAAAATGATCAGTCTATAGTTTTTGCTGCAGAAAGTGAAACCAAATCAATGGAGGATTTGTCAAGTAATTTAGAAAAGAGTTCACCAAAGGACAATGGACAGTCTTCGGTCGTGAAATCTGAAGAATCAAGTAAAGTAAATGAAATTAGCTCCGAACAATCTACAAATCTGTTACCACCTGCTTCTAAAGTTGTTTCGTCCAAACCACCAGCAGCAAGTCCATTCAAGATTACAAAGAAAGTCAAGTCCTCAGACCTCAAGTCCTTCCAACCAATCATAGATGAGGATGATCCTGCCACAGAGAGGTCTGGGAGTCCCGGGATGCACCTGTCTGTTCCCACGGAAACGCTAGAGATCATTTCAGACTCGGAGGAAGGAGACGCCAACGCCGTTCTGCCCGAATGGTTAAAGGAGGGAGAGTTTGTGACAGTCGGGACAAATAAGTACGGCACCGTGCGCTACGTGGGACCCACAGACTTTGCACAAGGGACCTGGGTTGGAGTGGAGCTGGAGGTACCGGCAGGTGAGTAGTGCACATGAATTGGTGTGTTTGCCTTGTAAAATCAGTCTGTGAGGGCTCCCAGCTCTGTCCTTGTTGATATTTATTTACCTTAATCTTTTGACCTGAACTGACCGTGTTCAGTTATGATACTCAACAATGGAAACATTATGATCCACGTTGTGTTGACCACAGACCCCAAAACATAGCCATGAGTCGACTGGATTCACAACTTGCAAGAATCCAGTTACAGTATCGGTTAGAATCTGTTGAAAATGGTACAAAAGTGGAGGGCAATAATAGGCCTGCCACAATAACAAATTTTGAAGTTTTGAAGTACATTGCTGAAGTAAATATAGACGATAAACAATAATACTGAAACTAATTTATGCCACTGATACATTAACCCAAGAGCAGATTTAAACCACAAAAATGATTCGAAATGTTCAGTATTGTTAAAAAAACACAAGAGCTGCAATAAATAAACAGCAGAATGAAACACTTTATTACTTAGTTTCATCTGTAATGAGTCATAGAAATAATGTATTCAACCTTTTACATCTTAAATCTTATCCTGTGGCCAGAAAATAACCAAAACTTACCAATAGTGTAAAGAAAATGTACAGATGATAAATATTCACCCCTATATTGGCATCCTTACTGCTTAAATCTTCAATCTACACCTTTTTGGTCTTTCTTCTTGTTAAATATTACTGCTTCTGGATTAATATCAGAATAAACCTGTGATCGAAATAAACTAATCAATCAATCAAAATCAATAATAAAGGAGGATGGAAATTGTTGAAAATGGGAAAGCGCAATTTTCAAAGCTATGATAAATATGTAGGGCAATATATCAGCATTGTTTTTTTGCTAAAAATAGTCACAAAGTTAGTTAATATTTAAGTTTTGATATTGTATGATGTGATTGCGTTTGTGCCCTCAGGTAAGAACGACGGCTCGGTGGGCGGTAAGCACTACTTCCACTGTAACCCAGGATACGGGGTCCTGGTGCGCCCCGGCCGAGTGACCCGCGCCACAGGGACCAGCAGCAAACGGAAGAGACAACAGAAACGCCGCAGTGCCAATCTGTCTGGGTCCAGCCCCAACCTGGCAGCCCTCACCGCCCTCGCCAAAGGGGAGGGGCCAGGGGGAGCAGGGGGTGTGGCCACAGGGCGAGGAGGGAAAGGAGAGAACCGCAAGTCGTGGAACACATAGATGCTCACTGTATGACTACTGCTGCGTTCAGGTGGTGTCAGGTTAAACGTAAATAAGAGTTTTGGACATGAGAGAGCACAGACCCCAGAATATATTGGATAAAGTAGGATTGTAGAAGCGGCTTCAACTATACAAATTCTGACATCAGTGAGAGAGAGTGATTTATTGGTTAAAAAGTTTCATATTTGGACATATTTGAATTAAGATTGAGATAATAGGGGCATGTATATGGATTTATCATTGAAATATATCATTGATGCTACGTCAGATTTAGGCTTATTTAGCTAAGAATTCAGATGCTGACTACTGGTAATGTTTACTTCAATATTTGATCTCAAACAGCTTTGGCGAAGGAACAGGTGGTCTAAGATAGCTCCGCCATTTGAGAAAACCGTATGAATTTTCTGAAATGCAGCATGATTATTCATCATCTAAAGATGATGAGTGATAAGACTATACTCCACATAAAAGGCTGCACTGTGTAACTATTGTGGTGGAGTCCGCCACCTGCTTGTCTCCATGGAGATGTTGTTGCTTTGCCTGATGTGTTCCACAGTGACATTAAGCATGTCTATTTCCCTGGTAACAGTCAAGTAATGCTACCAGGCCAGGCTGCAGGTCAGATCTGTATAAATGCATGCTTTTTGTTTAACTTGTGAGCAATAAAAGCACCCACAATTGTATTTTTGGTAAGATTTAAGGTTAATGTCATACTATGGCACATTCAAAGAAAAGCAGTATCATCTCCATGGGGTCAAGCAAGTGGCAAACCCTCCACTGCAAAAGTTACACAGTGCGGCTTTAATGTTTTTTATAATGATGTGAACATTTTTATCCTACTGCCACTGAACATGTTATGACCTGAATACATTTTAAAGTACAGACTGCTGAACAGATGGTAATATTATGGGTTTGTATTTAGATTCCAGTACTACACTTCATATGATTTTTATTACGTTGGTCAAAGAGCAATTGTGTGAATGTATTTTATATTGATGTCTCTGTGCCTTTTAAGTATCAAATTACTACAGTATGCGAAACATTATTGTGTTAAAGGTACATTAACTATTCTGGTGGATGCTACTGTTATTGCATTGACTGGAATGTTTCATAGTATGGCATTAAACGTGTCTATATCTAGAGACATGCAGATGACGCCGCCGGTCCAAGTCACGACTCAGGTCTGTGGAGGGGCAATCCTGCACAAGAATCTCAGTAATGATGATGACTTTACATGGTTTTGAATGTATTGGAATAAATGCAAGATACTTTGAATTATTCAAATCTCCATGGAAACAAACAGGTAGTCAAACCCTCACCGGAGAGGTTACAGTGTACCTTTAATGAACAAATGTTAAAGGGCTTAAATGTAGTGTTTGAATGTGCCAATCTACTTTTTACACAGCTCCTGCACTTTCAGTCTGATCTCCCTGTGATAAAAATACAGTTTTTTTATAGTCTGTTTGGGGAAAGTTATTGTGTGTGTGGGGAGGGTCGTGGCCATGTTAAAATAAGGTTAATGAGGGAGATTATGCATTTAATATTATGTCTGTATGGAAAAAGATTTTATACTTTGGTCTTTTTGAATGTAGAGATGTTTATTTATTTGATGAAATGGTTCCTAATAAAACAAATCAACTTACACACTGATTTGGGTGCACTGCTTAAAGAGGTTTCTGCATTTGACCCATTCAAAGGCAATGGGCATTTCTGTCACACCATACTTATTGCTTAGTAGTAATATATAATTGGTTCTATCAATAGTGAAACTAAATTCAAATGTGCAGCAACTACTCGGTAAAAAGACGTCACTGCAAGTACTTGTTGTTCACCCTTATTCAAGGCAGTTACTTTGATACCACTCAAACTGATATAATGAAATATAAATCTACTCGTGCGCTACAAGCAGTGATAGGAAGAAAAAATTACAGAATACTGAATACCCAAGATAAAATGTATTTTGTTACATATGTACACATGTACTGCATTCTTTATATTTTTTACACATAGTTGCATTATATTAGAGTGTAAAAATTGTGTTATATACCGCAATTAACAGCTTTATTTTTGTTGTACTGTTTGTTATGCATTAATTTATGTATCTACTTAGAGATGGAAATCACGCATGCACGCACTGCGAAAGCTTTTTATTCTCACTTATTCCGTGCAGTTCAAAACCAAAATGACATGATAACGTACCATCACGTATTCCTTTCATATACAGTCTATGATTCATTTTAATTTAGGAAGGTAACTATTTTGATATGAAATAGTAATTGTACCGCACAACGCATTTTCAGTACATGTATTCAGTTCTTCCCAACATTGTACGTGGGCTCCAATTTAATGTAGTGTACATTTTGTCACATATTTTTTCCACAAATCAAGACCAGGCATCTCACGTGTCATTGATATAGCTTTATTCTCTTGTACATTTTATATATCATACTAAAATAAACACAAGTTAAAAATGAACAAAGAAACTGTACAAAAAATGTTTATATACTACATCTTAATTACAGAACAGTCTACTGTCCAAAAAAGGCACTAAATTCTGAAATGGGCAATTACAGTAATAAGAGAACTTAAAGAGTTACGAGTTAGCGTCCAGTCTTCTGCGTGAGTTTGGGATGTGGGAGGGGCACGTGGACGGGGCGCGTGGACATGTTTTTGACCCTGACACACCATGAGAAGACGCCCCCTACTGAGCACACACAAGCATTACCACACCCGTGAGGCTCAGTTCAAACCACATCAAATACTGCTGGATTCTACCGTAGACGTGCTAATAATCAGACGAAGGCAATTTAAAGTGTCTTTTGTTTCGTAATCTCTAAATGCACTCTCTCACAGCTGATTATATGATTTATCCCTTACTATATTAGGCTACTCATTACAATGTCACACCGAACTCCAGAAAGGGGCAGGTATTGGATGTTTTTCCCGAAAAATCTGACCATATAAAATATACCTTCATCTTAAAGCTTAGACTTAATAATCTACTTTGGTACAATTATTGATCAAATATTCAAATTCTTATACAAACTTACTTTAACCAGAAAATTCAAGTTTGTTTTTTAACTTTTCAATAGGAGGAGTGACGTTTAAGTCACCATCTTTTTGATTCTCTTTAGGGATAGTAATAGATGACTCAAGCACTTCAAGTTAAAGATATGTTTCATAAATTTGAAAATTTTTTGTAATCAGCTTTTACAATCATAGTCAGGTTTGGTGTCTTTTTTTTTTCTACAGATGAGACAAAGGTTGCTATGGGTTACAGGTAGAACAATGTCCTTTCATTGGCCAATCAGATATGAGCTTTTAAAGAGTTTGGTGTGGCATGTTCATTACATTAAAAGCTTACAGGGTTCATTCAAGCTTTAGTTTTTTATAAGGTGCGTCATCATTCATTTTGACAAATTGCTTACCAATACTAGACAGGGGACTACTGTTCAGTCAAGTATGTTTAGAAATAAAAAAATAATTGAAAAAATATAAAATAAAAAGAAAACCTGTGATTAATTTAACATTAAAGCATGACTAATTTCAAAACATGTCATTCTTTTTGTACATCACAATAAAAATGAGTATAAATACACATATTGTATCATTTCACCCTTTCCTTTCAAACACAGGTCCCCCTTGTGAGCTGAAGCTTGTTCAAAGCTAACCCGTTTGGTGAAGTCGGGGAGTTGAGGAATACTTGGATACTTGTACATACTTAATAGCATACTATACTGCGGATCCTGAAAAGTTACATTTATATGTCAAAGATGAGGCAACAGAGACTGTAGCTTGGCACTATATTTTGACAGCTCTGTTAGCTTACCACTTGTGTAACTAAAAAGTGGGAAATGCTAACTTAGCTTATCGTCTGACAGCAGGGCAAACAGCTTTGAGCTGGTGCCACCTGTCAGACTGGGCGCTCCCCTGCCGACGTCCTGTGTGCAGCTCATCTTTAGCATAAGGACCTGGAGTCTTTGAGACACATTTAAACACACAATGGACCTTAGGCCTGACCCAAGGCTCAGTCTGGGACTGAAAGTGCTCACACTTTACAAGTGAAACAGTAACAGCCTCTTCGTTAACACACGCATCACTGGGCAGGCTCTGGGACCACCCTCCGTCTGTAGGGACCCTCTGTACAGACTCTGAGTTTGATTAGGACCCTCAGACTGGCCCCTTTGAGGCAGAGCTCTGTCCCAGTAACGGTCTAAAACAGAAGCGCTCTGAGGCTAGTATAAAGAGGCAGAGTCACACACAGTATTAAAGAGCAGGTTCAGTATTATTCATATAAGTGCTGCTAAATGTCTAAGTGTGCGACACAGGCCTGCTGTAGACACACCAAAGGAGCTGGGCTCTTAAGACTCTGTCGCTACGGTCTTTCCTTTGGCATGAACAGCATGAAGCAAAGCACAAACCCCATCCTTATACAACTTAAATTAGCTTGATTATCACATTGACCCTAAAAGTGATTTTCAAAGTACTTTACAATAGTATAACTGGGAAGCTAAATGCCAAGGCAAAATGATTGTACGTCCAATCCCCATCTGGACTCAGCTTCAGTGAAACCTGCTGCTGGCTGCCATCCACAGTCATGTTTTCTCTTTTACAGTAATGTCTTTGCATGTCTTCTGATGCCTTTTCATAGTGGTTCTGTGAGGTCATTATTATTGTAGTTTAGATTCGCAGTCAGCCGCAATTTGACCTTTCACCCCAAGCAGCTCTTCCAGTGTGGAATGATGAGGAGGGCAGGTCCGTGAGGAGGTGACAGAGCAGGTAGAGTAGGTAGGTCGTTGTACGCGAGTGAGACTGAGAACCGTATTTATTGGTAATATTTACAGTACAGCTATATCTGAGGTCTACTGAGGTGTTCTGAGGACTGGCTCAGACTGAGGGAGATAAGAGAGGTATCCGGTGAGCAGGAGAGGACAAAACATGCTTCGCTCCTTGGCTTTTTAAGACTACGTCCACATTAATGCGCTTTCATTCATAAAACTACTGCAGTCTTGGTTAAGTAGTAAGTAAAAAAAAGAAAAAAAACATGACTAAACTGTAATACTGGAGCAACACAATATATACTGTTCAAGGACGTTTATTTTACACATTTTGGCTTTTGATTGTCTTCTAGATATGATTTTAAAGTGGCGAAATCCTCAATCGAGTAAGCACATTAAAGATATGTCAAAAGAGGGTGCTAGGCAGGGTTCATTGCTTCACCTTTATCATGTAACAACTACAGGCGCTTAGACCATTTTGTAGGTTCACATATTATTGCATTGAGAATAAATGGTACAGTATACACTATAAATATTATCAACGAGAAATAGTTTTATGATTTGTATATTTTGGGTGGCTGGCCAAGATATAAATAATTTTGTACGTGCTAGGCTGTACAATGTTAATTTACTACCAAGAAGATGTGAGAAAACTGAAGAAGCAGGCAGTAAAACTTAAAACAGGAATCCAAAAAAAAACAGTTTATGAATAAAAATCCTGAAAAATATAACCTGATAAACCAGATGGTCTGATCCACAGAACCACCTTGAGAAAATAGTTATTTACTGTATAGTAACAGTATCTGCCGGTCCTGAAACTTGTCCAGATGGACCAAGTGATCAAAATAAAACATTATGAGATATGTTAATTCAAAGTTTGCTTGTCTGGATAGCATTAATACAGCCTCTTTATGTTCTATACTTTTTTAATAGCTATAAATAAATGTGAAAACGCATTAATGTGGTTGTGGCCTTTTATCCCGAGGTTCAGTTGGGTAGTTCCTTGAGACTCAAAGCATGTGTGCAGAGAGAGAGGTATTGAGTGATGAGGAGTAGAGTTGATATGGACAGACCCGTTTCGCTGTCCCGTGTGGTGATTTTCATGACTGCAGATATGACTGTTTACATAGAGGCAGACCTATATGTGTTTACTAAGAGGAGAGAGAGATGTCTTTGAGCCCCTGCTGTTTGGACCCATGAGCCCGTAGTCCCCCTGAGGTGCTCATTCGTCCTCCAGAGCTTCGGTCTTGATGTCACTGGGCACGCCTCCGGTCCGGGACAGGGCCAGGATGGTGTGGTTCACGGCCGCCATCTCCACGGCCAGAGAGATAGGGTCCTGGTGCTCCGTGTGCGCTGTGTTCTCCTCCTGGAACAAGTTAAATAACAACAAAATCACAAAGGGAAAATACAACAGAAAGGGTAAGAAACTAGAGCATTTTTAGGAAATGATTAAAAGAATACAAGAGTCCAGCTTCCTGTTATTGGTACTTCGCAGCATTGTCACGCTGAAGGTGTATTTTTATGTATCTATAGTGGAATGTTATCATTGTGACACAATGCACACATTAGCAATATCTACCAAAAGAGTTTTTAGATTGTCTGATAACTCAACAAAAAATACAAAATGAATTTAAAAGACACATTTTTTCAGGCTTGTGATCAATACAAGCCTTAAACAGAGCCATGCACGAGAGTGTGTCTCTAAAAGTTTGGCTCAAAAATATATCTTTTTCAGCTGTCAGTAGTTGGATGTGCGCTGAGCACTTTGTTGCACACGGTAAAAGGAAATGCAAATGTCAAAAGTAAAAGCCTGACATTTATACATTTTATCTCTGAATATTTTCAGTAAACAGGTCAGACAGACACTTCAAATTTTACATTGTTGAATATAAATCTATATTTTTTATTTTTATTTATTTAACAGTGATGTATTTGTCTTTGTAACAAATTAATGTATGAAGTATCTATGTAATTTTGCTTGCGGATCACTTAAGTTTATCTAAGATGGCCTAAAATAGATGCTGAAATACAGTTCATAAAAAGTGCTTCACACACTATATTTAAACAACAGGGGAAGGGAGTCTAATAACTTAAAGAGACCCTAATGTCTTGGTATCATTGTACAGAGGTGTAGGATGGGTAAAGCGTGCACCTGTGTTGGTGAGGTGGGCTCCAGTCGGTAAATGCCAAACGGTCGGCTCAGAGGTCTCTTGTCAAAGTATGGCAGGTCACAGGCCTAAACACATACAATTAACAGTCTTAATATATTCCAAATAATAGTTTAAAATATTATGAAAATAATTATTTAAGAGTTATTTCCAGACACTTAAAGGGTCCATATTACACAATTTTCTGATCTCTGATGTTGTTTCCTCATCACAAACATGCACACGAACCCTGCATATTTAGGATGAGTTTACCACCTTGTGATGTCATATGGTAATACAGGAATTGCTCCACTTTGTTCTTAAACTCTATACATCTTCACTAGAATAATTAACATTTTAACCTTTAAAGATAAATCCTAAACTTAAATCTAAGCTAATATTTGTGAAATAAAATTGTGCACCACAAACATAGGCAGTTCACATGTAGAAAGAGCAAGTACTGACATGTTCGGAGAAATCATTTCCATCAATATCATCGCTGTTGGAGTGGCCTCCTGGACTCTGGACATCAATCCCGTGGCTCTCCAGGATTGTGGCTTCTTGGAGGAACAGAATGGATTATTGTGAGTGAGTGCAAATGCATATTCAAAGGTTTTTTGTCAATGTGATTCACAGGTTTTTTTTGTTTTTTTTTTATCTTTACTGTATTATTAGCTTATTGCTCTTTTGACTGTTTGACTAATTAAATACTTAAATACTTAGTTTGTATCTATGAAGAGTCATAGATACAAACTAAGGAACCCCCCCCCCCAAAAAATTAAAATTAAATAAAATAAAAAATTCTGTTCGTTCTAACATATGTTCTGTGAAAAGCCGTTATAGTAATTATCGTGACAGGTCTAATAATATAAAATAACACAAACCAGATCATATGTTTGCTATTCATCAGAAATGTGCAAATTTAAAATGCGTCTGTAAATATATGGGTTGAGGTTCAAGTATTATGAGCTATGAACAAGTGCAAAATGATCACTTTAAGTAGAAGATGAGACCACACATCACATTTTAGCAGATTCTGGACAGTTTTCTTATTATTCATGGCTTAGAGGAATTCAGCAGTTTATATTTAAGTATTATATCTTTTGATACGGGGGAATGGGGGACAGGTCCTCACAAAATCCTTAAAAGCAGAAAAGAATATTTGCCTGAAACCTAGAAATATCCGTGATATTCAAATTTAGCAAAACAGATAAAATGGTGTTCCATTTGTAAGAATAAAGGACTTTTATTTTTGTAATCAGTGTGTCTCGAACATTTTATTCAAGCCACTTGTGACATAAATTGTGCTAGGACAGTAAGAGACTCATCTTGTATTTCAGTGTTATTTGCTTGTCCTGGAGAAGCACCTGTTTTTACACTTAAAGGAGTCATTGAAGCACTTGCCCTACTTGTCTTAGTTAAATCTATTTTAGAATTGTCCTGTAGACAAGATTCAGCTGGTCCGTGCAAAGGACTTTGACTGAGTAAAGGACAGAAGTAGCATTACCAATGTTGGCGCGTCTCTTGATCTCTTTGCGGCGGTTGGCAAACCAGTTGTAAACCTTTAGGGAGGTGACCCTTTCCAGATCAGACAGCTTCTTCCCTGAAACAAACAAATTAACAAATGAATTTAAATCACTTTTTTCCTTTTTTCACAAAATAAAGGTACACTAAATAAAAAAATTTAAAAAAGCACTCATGAACTCATTGAATAATTATAATACCTGAAATGCATACAGTGGAATAACTTCAGAGCATTTTAAATGAACTAGTTCTGCTTTTGGTGTTTTCATGTACAATGCCTTTAATCACCACTTAATGAGTTTCTCAAAGTGATTTACATCCACAATATATGTTATGTTTACAAAACAGGATGATCTCACATCTACATAATAATTACTAAGGTAGCAAAAGTTTATTACACAGAAAAGCTTAGACATATATTTTTATTTTCACCCCATTATCATAAATTAATTCATAAACTCATTCCCTTTGACATTTCTGCAATCTTAAATTCAGATAATATGGTGACATGATCCTCTTAAAACAACTTCACTTCACTTTACTGGAGTCCATGTCGCCGTACCTGGTTTCTGGATGACAGCGTTGCAGGCGTTGGCGATCTCCTCCCTCTTGGCCTCGTCTGGATACTGGTTGTCATTGAAGTAGCTATAAATATCAACAGAGCAACACTGTTTTAATTAAATACCACAGTGTCCTCAACAGGGCGGTCAGTTTATGGATGTACTGTTCTTTTCTAGGACAGTGGGTCTCAAACACGTCAAATACCATCTTAGGACAAATATGGCTTTCCAAGTACAATATTTAATCAAGTGAAATTAGCCTTGATTATAACCATTTATATAAACTCATAAACCAGGACCAAAACTAAGATCTAAAATCAAGACTGAATCAGAACATAACCAAAACACTATTACCACAACTCAACCAGGACTAAACCAAGACTAAACCTGGACTTGACCAGAACTAAATCATGACTAAATCAGAACATGACTAGAATAATTCATGACTCCAGCAGTAGAAGCAGATGTGCCCGCCCTCATATGCCTGCCCTCATATGCCCTCATATGCCCTCATATGCCCGCCCTCATATGCCCGCCCTCATATGCCCGCCCTCATATGCCCGCCCTCATATGCCCACCCTCATATGCCCACCCTCATATGCCCACCCTCATGACACTTTGAGAAGCCCTCCCCCTCACCTCTCCATGACAGCCAGACACTCCTTCCTCCAGGTGAAGCGACTGCCACGGCGCAGGCGGAAGGCGCCCGGGCCCGTGGCAAGAGGGGGAGGAGTCTGTCTCCACTCCATATCCTCCAGGGACAGAGGAGCAGGACGCATGTTCAGAGTGGCGCCTGTAGGGGGCAGAGAGTAGCATTTAGAACATAAGCAGGTTTGAAATGTTTGCGTAACTTTTCAAGTGGAGGTCCGCCACCTGCTTGTCTAGAACGTTCCACAGTAGATATTATCTATTTCCAGGGAGACAACTAGGCTACATTACAGGTCAAATCTGTGGAGAGGCAACTCTATTCAGAGAGAATTATTGTATTTTTGAGCAATACAAACACCTGTAATGAATGTGTTTAATGCCATAGCATGGAACATTATAGGCAAAGCAATAACATCTTCATGGAACAAACAGGTGATGAAAACTCCACCAGAAAAATTGCACAGTGCACCTTTAAGGATCATGTGCACTATTGTTCAGTGCATTTTCTGTATATTAAATGTTTGTATCTTTTATTTCACCCATGGGACTGCAGATGGAGCTCTGAGTAGGGCTGCAACTAATGATAAATCTAGTGATCATTTTCTTTGATCTATTAGTTAATGATCAAGAAAGGCCTGTGAAGAGGAGACTTTTGCCTAATTTGATCCAGATAAAATCAAAGAGATGCCGCTTGAGGACATCTTGACTGAGTACACTTTCAGACAAAATGGGTTTTCAAAAACACAACTGCTTTTCTTGATACTGATGTAATTACAGCTTTGTCTACCGTCTCGATCTTAAATAAATGAAATGACAAAAACATGAAAACTGCCCAACTGTAATAAACATCACCAACCACATATAAGAAGACATATGCAAAGTGGGTGAATTGTCTAGCCCAAGGACATAAGGAAGGTCAGAGGAGCTGAAACATATCATTAAAGTTGCATTGTGTGGAGGGCCCCGCAAATGCTTTTCTCCATGATGTGGTTATTGCTTTGTCTGGAATGTTTCACAGTATAGCATTAAACCTTTCTATCTTCATGAAGACCAAACTAGAATGCCTGGATGCCTGTTTTTCTAGGTATTTTTGAGTAATAAAATCACCTGGCAGCAGCACAAATTCATAGAAACAAGCAGTGCAGTAGTTTTCTTACAAAGTTTTCAGCAAACTGCCCAAACCACCTTGTCCATAAGTAGCGCTATAATAATGACAATATTGATTTACAAAACAATGCAGTCCCAGTTATGTGCGGGTATCATAAAAGTGAAATAGTGTTAAAAGAACAGAGTGGGGCCCTAAATACAGAAAGATGCAGAGAAGTTGCTGACACGGACAACAGCTGCAGATGGGTGCTTTATTGAAAAGTCTTTGGATGTGTGATTTTTCCGTTCTCTACACAAAGATGAAATTAACAAATGTACTGACTGTGCAGAAGCTTGTCCCTGCAGGAGGAATTTATGCGAGAAACGCGTGTCACTTCTTGCAGATCTCACAATATATCCTGATTATAAACTTAGTGCTGACAAGGGCTCTGCGGAGGCGCTTAAATCATGAGCACAGCTAAAGAAAGCGCACAGAGGAGCTACACCTGTGTTTGCACCCCTGTTTATGTGGTCTACTCACAGTAATACAGTTTAAAGCACAATATACTAAAATGTACTCATAAATTATTTAGTACTGCCACCAACCATTTTATGCCACTAATGTAATGCTTATGTACTGCATGGCCAGGGAAGTGTGCTATAAACTTTTATCAACCTCATCTTGAATACAACGTGTGAACTAAAAAAGGTGACAATGCAATAACCTTTCCATGGAGACAAGCAGGTGGTGAACCTGCAACTAGAAATGTTACGCAGTGCACCTTTAACACCATCGTCCCTGCAAAATTTTTATTTTACATATCGACTATCATGACAATGTGAGCTACTGAATTTATTTTCATATTTTTACAATAACAATAAAGTATCTAACTGAACAAAACAATGGAAATTAACTTTTTTACATTTAACATTTGGCAGATTTTAAATTAAAAAAAACGTGCAAACAGAGTCACAAAAAGCAATGTCCAGAAAATCATTGTCAGGTAAAGATTGCAGTTAATGTTACAATGTGTAATCAAACTGATATCGCAATTTTAAATTGCTGAAAGAATACAGTTATTTAGATAACATACTAATGCCATTGAGTGCAAAATATCCAGTATTATCGTGTGTAAAATTAGTTTACCCTCTAACTAATTGCCCTGGTGGGATTAATCAGTCTGAATTTGAATCCAAGACCTCACATTAAAACATGTTCTGAAATGTACCCTGTGTTATTTCTGAATGAACCCAGATTTGTTTAAAATCTACACTGCAACTGAATCGTGATTTGAGAACATATAAAAAATAAATAAATAAAATATATCTATTTTAAAATTTTGTCTTGATTATGAATTATGAACAAATAAAAATTTCTTTCAAAATAAATTTTCTGAAGAGTAACTATACTGATATATTCAATATACTTTATTGATTACCATTTGCACGAAGAGTTATTGTTAATTCCTGTTGTATATAGAAAGTGTCGTTTTGCTTTGTAATATCAAAATCAGAATCAAGTCTTTTCCATATTATTGAAATAGTTTGATATTTCTCTGACATGACAGCACTAGTGGGAGAATAGTAGTAGTTCAGAAATAGCAGAGACTGGTGGTAGTGCTGACAGTGCTGGCTCTGCTCCATAAGGAACACAGCACAGAGGACGCGTCTCTGTCTGTCTCTCTCCAGGCAGCGGGTGAGCCACTGTGTGTTTGCGTGTATCGCCGCATTCATATATCCACAATGAAAATAAGGCCTTCTATCATTAAAAATCTTTTTACTTTCTACCCTGACATAAATAATCTTGATCCTTATAAATCTTACCTACAGAAGTGCTTTGTTTCATAGATCCCCGTTTTGGTAATTCTATATTTTTAAATAAACGAATATAGTAAATAGAAATGAAGTTTGCTCAAAATCCAGGAGTGAACCAATACAAATACCTTAATCCCTTAATGCATTAATAGAATTGTTTCTATAGATAATACACATACAGTAATTTTTATTGAATTAGAAAAAGAAGAAGAAATTCTGCTGATCTTTTCATCTAATTCATACACAGTTCACATTTTAACATATTTTCTTGTGGTTTCTTTTAAAATGTTGCTGATAAACCTTATGTTCACAAAATCTTATAATTATTCCACTGGGGCATTGCAATAATTTCTCAGGCATGACATTTAAAATATTTTCAGTAATTTGTCTAAATACATGCACACATATTTACTTTGCATGTTTTTAATCACAGACTAAACAAAAAGCAACAACAGAAAATAATTTACTAGGGACTGTGCATTCTCCATTTTGAAATGTATGCCTTACTGTAGAATTAAGGCTGCTCGTTTTAATGGCGCCTGAGTCTCATAGTAATTTTACATCTGTTGTCATGGCAACAATAAAGGGCAATGTATTTTTAAGGGCAGAAAATGTTTCTTCACAAAAAGGTTTAGATTATGAATACCAATTGGGCACAGCAATTCTTCTCTCAAGTCACGCAGCATTTCAGACACCTTCTACACAAATATAGGGTGCATTTTACAAACTGTACTTCTAGCGCTATAGAATGGGAACAATCTAAGTCTATTTAGAAAAAGACTGAGCATAATGTAAACGTTTCAATGTATTTCATTGTCATTAAAAATAAAAGTATGAAAGCAAATGGATGAATTTAAAATGCAAAAGCACAAACTATTTGAGGTATAGTGCTTTTAGCAAGCAAATACAGAAAACCAAACTCATTCCAGTCCAAACTCATTCTAAAATATAGACAGATCTCTTTGCAGACACCTCTCACTGCATAACAATCACGTAATTGCTCAGAAACTATGTAGTTTTTGTCTTTCCAAATCAGGACAGAGTCCTAGCTGAGTAATAAAATTGATAAATAAAGAACAAGATCTATATGAGGGCTATTTCTGCATTTCCCCAAGGTGGAAAATCTCTAAATCAAACTATTCTGAGCCGTGCAGCTGCAGTTTTCTTCTACAATCAACAATATATTTGAAAGTGCAAATCTACAGCCACAAGAGGGCAGCACCAATAGAACAAGAGCTACTTCCATGCAAGGTGACAGCAGTAAAATTTTGTAGACATGGGGTAAGTATAAGTATGGAGCCTTGATTTATTGAGATTTAGGAAAGAGCGGGCATGTCTGCAGCTGTCTAAATGTTACTTCTGCTGGTACTATGTTTATGTTGTCATTTGAATATTTTTGTGATTGTATTTTAGTTTTGTCTTTATTTATGTTTACTTAGTGCCTTAACAATAGATTTACCCCACATCCATAGTCTGTTAAATAGACCAGGCCATCATTCTGCACCATAGACTGTAAAAAGAAGTGGACCAAGGCAGTGTGACGTCACCCATAGTGTTCAGCTCCAGTCAAATGAAGCTTACGAGAATAGCAGTTATAGAGGCAAATTTGGAGCTGACTTCCATATTAGGAATAGGAATTTGTTAATGTACAAAATAGCAAAATAAAAACACATGGATCATGTAGAGCAGGTTAATATGAACATTTTAAGACCAAAAAGACGAGGCTCACTGCAGTAGTTACAGCGAGCGGGGTGACAATCTTTTCAATGTAAATTCAATCAGAACCAGAGTAGATGGAGCGGCCATGCTTACTTCCTGTTTGGAACACAGCGGAACATGTCGGAACACATTTATATGTACAGTCTGTGTCCTGCTCCTGTAGCCTTTTTGATAAAACACACATGTAACACATTCCCACAACCAAGGTGCATGAAGTGTCTTGCCCAAAGACAAAAAGTAACTGAGCAGCCAACTTTTGGGTTAGAAGGTAAACAAGTTACAACTGATATGTACATCTGTCTATTTAAATCCTTTCTCCCTCCATATTAATGAACCTGGATTTGCATGTTAGACTAATATCATACATCCCAAATAGCGGAGGGCTGATTAGCTGCTTAATAAGCCAGTCATTAGCGAGTGAGTGCTCCAGCAGAGGTGCAGTGCATCGGGGCAGGTACACAAACTCTTCTCACACTGTATATGCGTTCACTTGGATCCAACTTTTATCACTTCTAATTAACAGTCTGTCAGGAGGAAGCAGGTAGACGAGTGGGTGAGATCCTATTTTTAAGAGATCTAAACAACTATTTTTACTGCCAGGTTCAGCTGCGTTCTCTTAAAGCTTTCAAAGTATGGCTGTCGAAGCTAACACAATAATCATGTGTTAAAGGCAGCCCACTTAAAGTGAGCTGCGAAATGGGAGAAGAAGAACCTCCCAGACTTGGGAGTTATTTTGAAAAGATTATGTTACTACATTTATTTTCGTTCATGCCTTTTAGGCCTGTAGTAGACGGAAGAAATTCTTGGTCAACTAAAGATGTGACGAGTAAAAAGGTGACGTGGCAAAAGCTCTCAAAACTATTATGTATCTCTGTATATCTACCCAAACTGTACTCAGAAGACTACGTCCGCATAGGAGTTCATGCAAAAACAACTACTTATGCAGAACGGAAGTACCAAGAAACAATGTGTTTATAAAGATAGGTTAAACTTGTGAATCTACTTTATTTACATAGAAACTCACTCACTTCTCCTTTCAGCTGTGGTCCCATTTAAATTCTTATCATCTAAATAAAACAATCAGCTGACTAATACAAATTTTGATCACTGTGATATTACTGACTGATGAATCAATGACTAAAGGCCTACAAGCCCTAATACATTTTCAGTTTTTTATATCGTAACACAGAGTAAAGAAGTGTACGTTTGTACGCTTGTTGCTATGTGCTGCTCCTTCCCCATACAATATAATGAACATGCCTTCTGTCAAACTTGGAATTATGTCTGTTTTTCTTGTTGAATAACGTATATTGTGTAAACTAGTGGTTCTCAAACTTTTCACACTAAGTACAACCTATGTACTAGTATAGTATAGTACAGTATAGTATTTGGCTTTTCAAGTGCCACCAGATCTAAACCTGGACTACATCAGGCTGCAATTAGGGCTAGAATGAGACAAAAACAAACCTAAAATTAGACTAAACTAAAGATAAGGTAGTCTCTGAAGCTGTTTACTGATTAACCCAAATGAAGTCAAATACATTTAAAGATTTGTCTAATTAAAATTGCAGAGGGCCTTGCGTACCACAGTCTGAGAAACACTGCTGGATATGTATTATAAAAACTGTCTAACTGTTCTCAGTATAACTCTGCACAAACTAATGTTGGCGTGTGTAAAGATTGAATGTTTTACATGACAGCACAAATACTGGACTAATATCTTTAAAGTGCATAAACCAGCTTATAAATCAATATGTATCCCCTGATGTGATCATAATCCTCTTTCTTAGATGCAATTTTAAAATTAATAAAGATTGCATGGGTCCAGAGCTGAACTCCAAATGCCATGTAATAAATCCTACTTTATTCTAATACCTCTATTGTCTTATATAACAGGAAATAACCAATGATCAAGCAGTACAGTCTGGAGTCGGAGCGGTGTAATACCTGGTGTGGTCTTCTCCAGAATATACCAGCGATAGAAGGCCCTTTTCTTCTGCTCACTCAAGTCTGACCCATGCTGCAGAAGCCAATGAGAGATCCGGCTCTGGCTAATTCCTGCACAGGCAATGAATAGTTATGTTAAACAGTAATTAAATGGAGGTACTATAGTATTTCTTGTGTAGAAGTGGCATTAAAACAGAATATAATTTGAAAACACAAAGGGCCATATTACAATATTTTCTGATCCATGTTAAAATGTTGGATCCTCATCACAAACATACGTGAAGTTGTGTTTTGATTCATTCTTCTCTCAAACAGAAAACACTAGTGATGTCACGTGGTAATACAGAAAGTGCTCCACTGTGTTTTTTAAACTCGGCACACCTTCAGTATAATCTTTTGGATAATTTGAGCCCTTTGTTTAATAAAGATTGCTCATCTCTATTAAACAAAAGGTAAAAAGCTGCTATTAACTTGAAAACTAGCTCTTCATGACATCGTAAGGTGGAACAGAGCATTTTGAGCTTTGGACTAATTAATAAAGGATTACTCAAACATGTGTGAATGAAACAAAACACAATTTCACATATCTTTTTGAGGGGGTAACAACATGCTCACATGGCTCAAAGCTCACAAGAGTCAAGTTTGTGTAATATAGGACAATTGAAGGGAAAGAATTTTCAACAAATTTTTGACAGTTTCCTTTGCTTATAAGAAGTGGAGGGTACAAGTTGTTTTTAAGTCTTTTGTTGCCACGATGTCAATGAAGAACCAAACACTTATTCCTATTCTATAATTATGTTGATAATTGTTGAATCCTGCGACAATTAAGACTGTGTATCCAGGAAGCCACATTTAAACATAAAAAGTGAAACTGAGGCTGTACAATAGAGAAAATTACAAAACACTTTGATTCACGGCTCACCCTTTTGTGAGTCTTTGTGTCTCTAAAAGAAAAGATTGTGTAATTAATTAGGAATTGTTCGGCATCTCGGCTCAGGAGAAAAATTATCATCAAAAACATGGTTGTGTGAAGGAATGACAAGACTGATTTTACCATTATTTCTGATGTAAATGTCATAGTTGGACAAGCAAATATAAATAATGAAATGTAATGTTTATCTCTAGTTTATCATACATTAGTATATACATTTTTTTTTAGTTTTTTTTTTTTTAATGGTGTGTGTATCTAGGCATGTCATGATGAATACTATATAAAATTCAGTATATGATACATAAACAATATTTTTCATTTAGCTGGTCGAATAATTAAAGGTGCACTGTGTAACTTTTTTGGAGGAGGTTTGCAACCTGTTTCCATGGAGATGTAAATACTCTGGCTTAAATTATTCACAGTGTGGTTTTAAACTAATCTGTCTTGCATTTATTCAAGTATTAATTGCTCAAAAAATTTCTTTAAAAAAAATCCATTCTTACTGTCAGTGGGGTCGCCTCTCCACAAATCTAATTTGTGATTTGGCTTGCAAGTCTCCATGGAGATTTGTACGTTTATGACCATACTGTGGAATATCTAGGCACATCTCCATGGAGACAAGCAGGTGACGAACCCTCCAGCAGACAAGTTACACAGTAAACATTTAACATCTAAGACACATTTTAGATACTCCTAACTACTAAGTGTTTCAGTTTGCTATTTATTTAACGCTGGCCATGCTTCCTGCTTTAAAAATGTTACAAATAAACATTAAAAATACTGTTGTTTATGATTATATTTTTCTGTACAAATAAATCGTACTTCAAAATGAGTTATAGTGACAGGCCTACATGTTTGTTAACGATCAGAAAAGTCAGTAGTCAAAGAAATAACACAAGACTAAAATTAGGGTCAAGCTATACAAATAATTAGCTTTGTAATGTTATATTAATATAGTAATTATAATTGTTATATTTTTTGTAATCGGTTCCATTGATTGAGGTTGTACTCACCAGTGACTTGTGCCACCACGGCCTGAGAGATTCTCCTGTTCCCCAAAAACGCCTTGATCTCCTCTTTCACCAGACTGCTCTCCCTCCTGCACACACACACACCCAGGTTATGTAGAGAGGTAATTCTAGAGAAGAGCATTCAGTGTTTGAAATTGTTGGACTGTTTTTTTTTAAATAAGTCAATAAATCTAGTTTGCGTTTTGACACATTTTACAGCATATTTGGCATGGTGGCATAGTGGTTAGTTCTTCCGTTTTACAACGGCAAAAATCACAAAACAGCAGCAATGACTGTGTGAGTGAATGTTGCCGTGCTATATGTGGTCTTCTGGGCATATTCACTGTATTTATTTGTGCCTATTATTGTTGTTTAAACCCATTTAATATTGCATTTAGTGAAATCTGACCTGTTAAAAGCGCTCCTAGGGACTGGTGTTGTGAATTAGCCTCAGCTAATAGACCCTGTGATACCTGATCAGATTACTACATGCTAATCTATGTTTATTGTATCAGAGTCTTCACATTAAAAAATAGATAAATAAAGATCCGGGGTTTGATTACTGGATCATGTGGACTGGAGTTTGCATGTTCTACCTGTCTACATATAAAAAAGAAGTATTAATTATACTATTCAATACAGTGAAAATAAATAAGATTATTTTCTACACTCCATAAAATCATAACCGAAGGACATCTACCACTAACAAAATGGCCCCAAGACAATACTGTTTCAGATAAACCAAGGTCTTACTCAGAGCATGTTTGGGCTGCAGACACATGAGAATAAGAAAGGAATTTTATATACAAACATATCAATGAAAACATAAAAATCCCATTTGAGATAGTTAAGGCTACTGACTTTGAAGGGAGTAATATATTCTTACAAGTATGCCTCAAGAACTACACACATGATTTAATACTTAAAATGAACAATTTTCTTAGATCCATCATAACTTTTGTGATTTGTAGAACAGTCCAGACCAGAGCCAGAAATAGGGTCCAACTTGACCAGAGTCCAAAACCAGAAAATCAACACGGAAATCTTTTAACAAAGACAAAAATCAATGCTATACGCTTTCAGCTGTAGATATCAAACCATTCATTACATTTCTCCTTCTCAATCCACCTCACCGGGGCTCTGTTTTTCTGCATTTTAATAGAAACATTTCAGTGGCGTTTTTGCCGAGGCGTAATCAGAGCCACACAAAGGCGAGGTCTTTCAAATCAGTCGTAATCATGTGTTTGTTATTTTCCTCATTTCATGTAAAATGTAGCGCCTCTCTCCTCCTGTCTGGGCGGGTAAATAAAAAAAGCCCAGAACATGCAGAGACTTGCAGAATCGGAGGGTGGTGCGTGAACACATAGTCACATAGTGTACCCACCCTGCTTTCTGGCACCTCGCCCAATCCGCTCCCCTATACATCTATAATAACGCAAGGAGGACAAACACAAACACATATATTACAATCTTGTTCACAATTGCATGGAGATGGCAGACACAACAGCTGTCATACACCCAGACTGAAGATCTGTTTCTCAGTCCAGTACAATGCATTTCTACATAGAGTAAGTATATACAGCACAATCTCAGCAACCTCTTAAAAAACAAATCAAATCCAGTCAATAGAGAAAGAAGCAAATTAGCGACTAGGGTGCAAATTAGCATCTGGGGTGTTTTGGTGAAATCAGAGACATGATCGTAAAACAAAAAAAACTGTGAAGATGGAAGGAGTGGAGGTATAGAAATTAGTATACGTAAGAAATCAGAAAAGAAAGCTAACAAACTAAGAATAACATCGGTTGCACTTGTCTATAGATAAGAAAAAACTTGGACCACACATTTTGATGTTTTACAGAGAAGTGTTATACCTAAATTTTGACTTTATTCAAACTTTAATTAGATAGATACATATTTTATTGATCCCAAAGGAAATTCAATAATCAATCTGGTTTATTGGAAAAGTAAAAAATAGTCATAGTAATTAGGATTCATCAGTATGTTTTAATTTTTATTTTATTTTTTTTATAATTTTGGTTTGTACAAAGGCATTTTTACAATTTAAATAGAAGCATCTTTAAGGTGGACAGCCAGACTGGGCACAATTTTGCAAGCTTGCCAGTTTCCGTAACATTGCGGAGCACCAGAACTAGCATAGGTCTAAAATAACAAATGCGTCACAACTTTGACATCCAGCATCAATATCCTCCTCAGCGTCTCATGCGGCACAGCTAAAATTAGAGCCTCAAAAGTGCTGCTTGTATCGACACTGGTGAATCAATGTAGCACGAGCGCCTGTACAAGGACTGGCAGGAGGAGACAGGGAGAGGGGAGGGAGAGGGGGAGGGAGAGGGGGAGAGTGATGGGGAGAGAGGGGAGAGGGGGAAAGGGGGAGAGCGAGAGGGGGAGACAGAAGAGGGGGGGGTTAAAGGTGGAGAGAGAGGAGAGGGTGAAAAGAGGGAAGATGAGACAGGGGTTTGAAGGAGGAGAAAGATGAGAAGAGGAGGAGAGACAGAGGGAGAGAGAGAATGGGAGGAAGTAGGGAGGTCTGAAGGAGGGGAGAGGGAAGGGGAGAGGGAAGGGGAGAAGGAGAGAAAATCATAAAAACTAATCCAAACCTGCAATAAATAAATAGCAGAATGCAACATTTAACAGTAATTAGTTTGTATCTGTAATGAGTCATAGAAGGTCAGAATTTAACCTTCTACAGCTCAAATCTTATCATATTGCAAAGAAATCACCAAAAATGTCTTACTAGTACAACAAAAACATATCCACAATAAATACTGCCCCCTAAAAATTATAGTTCCATCTTTTATGTACTGAATGGTTGATATTGTCGATATAATAAGTATCATGAGGGAAAGAGGGAGTAAGGGAGGGAGGAGAGAGTAAGAGATATAGAGATAGATAAAAAGACACACAGACAGACAGAGAGACAGAGAGAAAGAAAGGAGAGAAGGCATAAAGGGGGGAGCTAAGGGGAGAGAAGGGGGGAGACAAGAGAAGGAAGGAGTCTTTAGTGTTGAGTGCGCTGGCTGTCATCACAGAAGGCAGAGCCCCCCACCGACCGACCACAAGGAAACATGCACTTTACGAAGAACAAGAAGTGTCAAGGGCTCCGTGGGATTGTGCGACGAGCTGGAGCGCCACGTCACGCCCCCTCAACTTCAGGGAGGCCGACAGGCGCAGGGGCGACAGGGGCGACAGGCGCAGGCGAGCAGGGCGGCTGAGTGCTACTTAACTTTGTGCTCCATCAAAATCCAGGACAAGTGCTATAAAGAGGAGGGCTGCACTGTACAAAAGGAAATATGCCATGAGTAAACTATTCTATTACCATAACAATATTCAATAATATGATGTCAGTATTTATAAGTAACTGGTAAATAATGTATGGCAAGGTGCATTCTTCATTGTATTCATGTTCTAACTGATGTTGTAAAATACTATAATTCATATATTTAGTATAAATGAAAAGTGCACACATTAAAACACACAGACTCAAATTGAGATGCTGTATTTCTCTTCGTTTAGACTTCTGTGTGATTTTTTTTTCCCCAAATAAAAAAATGTTAGTAGTCAAGGTTGTTAGTCCAAATGTTGGAACCAGTTATTGTTGTGTGTGTTCTGCAAACACAGATGAATGACTGAAGGTAATTTTTAAATGAAAGAGTGAAAACATATTTCTCCTGAGAAGATTTGTGCTGAAATTAAGAAAAACATTTAGAGGCTGAGATTATTATGGAGAATTTAGTCAATCAAACAAATGAGCATATTATACTATAAACTCTCACACTTTTGGTTACTGCATCAGGGTATCAGAGCAAAATCAGCCCAATCCATATGAATGATGATATTAATCTTAATAAGTGATATGGGTTACCTCCGAACAAAAGGTACAATAAGTAGCTTTGTGTCTCAGTAGAGATCTACTTTGCCTGGAATGTTCAACAGAAAGCCATTAAAACGTATCCATCTTCATGGAGAAAAGCAGGGGACGCCAAAATCAATGTGAATCTAAAAACTACAGCCAGCTAATGAAACTAAATGTTACTGATATTATCATTATAAATCCTTCAACATATTTAAATTGTTAGCAAAAAAACAAGTTTAGTGTGGCTATTCATAACTATTTGACATTTTGAATCAAAAGTGTTCTTTCATAGAGGTTTATAGCAGGCTCTCTTTTTTGAGTGCTACAAACTGTCATTTTGCCAGCTTGTCCTTGGCTAAAATCACATCACGGTCGCTAACACAAAGCTAGCTGCTTTTACTACGGATGTATTCAACAACAGAAATGCTGTCACTGATTAATGTCCACTACAAAGTCATGTGATACCATGCAGGAGAAAACTTTAATTTGAAAAAATATTGGATAACAGAATTTAAAGGAATTACATATTTTAGGTTAGTGACTTGAAAAGAAATCACAAGAACATATTTAAGCACTTCCTGTTGTTATACACATCCTAACATCCTGAAAATGTCAAAATGAGGATCGCAATTTTCCGCCAAGTCACATTTTCTCATAATTGTTGTATACACTCGGTTTATATCAGTGGTGTAGTGCAGCATAAAACAGAAAATCACTGAATATAATAATAAGATTGTCTAATTATGCTGAAAGACTGATATACCTGTTGGACAACACAGTGCTTAGTATTGCTTTGTTTAGGTCAAAACATTAGTAGTAAGGGCACTACACAAACTCTACACTGCTCTCTTATTGGTATACAGTGAAACAAGGATGTAGAGGTACAAGAGATTATTGCTGTATTTAGGAATGTCATGATAAAATGTTTTAAGTGTGATATATTGTTGAACCAAATAGACAATCCACGATAATATTGGAACCAAACTATAGAGCAGAACTATCCCCCCAAAAATACAGTCATTTATTTAACCCTCTAAAGCCCCTTGCAAACTTCCCCTTTGAATGAGAGGGGGATGGAGGGGTTTAGAACAATTTTCCAACAGTCATAAGACCATGGAATTTTAATTTTGTATTTGAAAAAACTCTTGTTTTAATTCCAATTTTTGTATTCATTAAAGGGAAAAAAAGCTTATCATATTACAGAAAAATAACCAAAATTTTCCCACTAATAAGAAAAAGTACTCATGATAAATACTGCAGCCAAAAAATTATTGTTCCATCTATTATGTGTTGAACGATAAATCAGTATAGAAATAACTGTGACTGGCCTAAGTGTATTATTTTATTTTTATAATTTACACAAAACTATATTATACTTAACTATAGTTTATAATAAATTCCTCTAATTTGAGGAAAACAAACAGCCTATCAAAAAAAAAACATAGCTCAATCAGTTCCAATTGTCCCCTTCCCCTGTTCCTGTCACTGTACTGCTCATATTAAGCCAGAAATATCACTGTTAAAATAGTGTATACATATGTTTGACCCTTCACAGTGACCCCATAAAGGCAGTATATCATTTCTGATAGAACATTTACAATGTAATTAGTCGTACATTAAACATACAATAGAGCCTTTATGTTTGATATTCTGCTGCCAAGTCACAGGATGTACATCTCCGTATGGTACTCAATGTGAAACGCATTCATCACAACAGTCATGTGCTCCAAAATAATCAGTTTCTCTGCTATTTTTAGCTTTTTATAGTGAACTCTAATTTACGGCATTGCAAGATTGTAATGGAATAAAACCACTATTCACAAGTGCACACGCACTGCTTTGGGATACATTTCTAACAGCCAGTTTTTTTGTATGATGCCATCTTGAAGTGCTTTACATATCATTGTAGTAACAATTAATATATCAACAGATACTTGTGCAAGGACTAAAAATTTTCCTTAAAACAGAAATAACCTATGACAAAATGTTTTATTCACCTGTTATTTATCCTAGTACAGTTATTCTCCTATGTCTTATTACACCCCCCTTTCAAAAAATGAGATCTGAAATTTGCCATCAAAAATATTTCCTGAAGTTGCTCTATGTAGAATTTCTGGTGGAGGGCCTGCTACCTACTTGTCCCCATGAAGTTGTTGCTTTGCCTGGAATGTTCCATGTTATGGCATTAACCGTATCAAGTGGTCAGTTTGTGTAGAGGCAAGCTCACTCACAGTAAGAATCCATATTTTACAAACAAACAGAAGAGGAGGAGAGGGAGAGAGACAGCGATAATGTCTTCAAGCAGGTCGCTCATCCTCTACCTAAAAAGTTACACAGCGCACCTTTAAAGTCTCAATTCTGTGTATATTCAAGTTCTAGTATTAGAGTTAGTTAGAGTTACTTACTTTTAAACATTTTAAATTTTAAGAAAACACAAGTATTGATGCTTAAGTATTTGGATGGGGTCATGCTGCACATTTGGTATTACACTGTAAAATCAAAACTATGCAGTGTTTGATGCTCTTAACATAATTTTATTGTTTTCTATGACTAAATAAAATATTGAATCTTGAATCTGGATCCGTTTTTGAGACAGGTAACACTAAAGACTCCAGTATACTGAGAAAACGTAATTGAGTTGAATGAGTAAACATGACTGTGAACTTTGAACTAACGCATTACAACCTCAGCTGCACACAATGATCCTATACAGTAACTATACAGTAACTATACAGTAACTATACAGTATACAGTGTCTAACGTTGTATATTCTATGCAGTCTGTGCGGAGTCATTAAGTCCACAACTACAAATCACAAGAGCCCTTGAGCTTACTTGGGCCGTATATATTGTGATTGGATCAGTTACTCAATATGCCAAGGTAACAGAATATATTTTACTTTCCACCAGAAAAGTTACACAATGCACCTTTAAGTACTTGCCAATTACTTACTTACTTACTATCTTCCTGTGCCTCCATTGGCTGCTGACATCTGATATAAACCGATACTAGTGCAGGGACTAAAAACACACTTTATTTTCCTTATAACAAAAATAAGGTATATGACAAAATGTTATTTATCCTAGTTCAATTATGGATGGAAGTACAGAACAACTTTGTATCAATAAAAACTAAAATATTATGAGACTATCTGGACCAACTACAACCACTAAGTCATCTTAGTACATCACATTATAAGCCCAACCAGGATAGCAGCATTGGTGCATGCCTAATAATTTAGTTTAAGTCACAATACTGGTTTGGTACTAACACCTCTAAGCATCCATTCAGTAAAATCTAGGCCTGTCATGATAACAGATTTTAAAGCACATATATTACATACACAAAGCAGGATAATCCCAATGAACCAATTTTTAAATATACAATATCATTAAACTGCATGAGCTGCAGCAAATAAATAGCAGAATGAACCAATAATTAGCCATAGATGTTATTTATTCAACCCTCTACAGCTCAGATCTTACCTTATTCTATATACATATAGATATAAATGACAAAAAATCCCCACTATTGCCAAGAAAATGTACACATGATAAATACTGAGCTGAAAAATATATTGTTAAACTTTCATATATTGAACAATAAGTCGACACAGTATACAGTAACAGGCCTAGAAAAACCTTGCCACACACACAAATAAATACTTAAATTATTGTATTTCTAAGAAGAATTCTTTTTGGAAATAGGACAGTACATGTGTCCTTGTATCAGTATTGGAATATATCAGGATTACTGTACACGATATGTAAATTGTGATACTTATGGTATACATCAAAGACTTGTGAGTAGTAGGGATGTAACACTATGCAAATCCCATGGCATGAAATTGTCACAATACTCATTTCTCAATACAATATTAATTGTGATATTTTAGAAATGCTAACAGAGTTGAAGAAATGCTCCTTTTTCCATTTTAAAAAGCCTTGTCAAGATTTTGGTCCTACATTATGATCATATTCCCAAGAATTAAGATAAAAGTTCACTTCATACTGTCTGCTTCATCATCATGGTCATGGTCAAGGTCTATTTAGTTCTCTGTTTTTTAGCAGTCGCTGCACCATAAAAATGAATTTACAGGTGCACTGCGCAACTTTTCTGGTGAACGGTCCGCTACCCTTCTCCATGGAGATGTTATTGCTCTGCCTAGAATGACATGAAATATATCCATCTAGCATTTATTCATTACAGGTGTTTCTATTACTAAAAACTACTTCTGTGAATGGGCGACTCTCCACAGGCCTGAACTGTAATGTAGCGTAGTGCTGTAACCTGCTTGCCTCTCTTGTGACAGACAAGATTCTAGACAAAGCAATAACATTTCCAAGGAGACAAACAGGTGATGGACCCTCCACTAAAAATGTTACGCAGTGCACCTTTAAGCAAAGAAGTTTATAATTCGATATGCATATTGTGCCAATCCGTTATTATTGTGAGACTTTATTCTGAGACCATCCCTAGCGAATAGAGCAGAATAAATGTAGTAGTATTAAATTTTGAGCAATGAGCAAAAATGGAGAGCATTTGGCAATAGCACTTTTATAATATGACAAAGACGTATCAAAAGCAGCTCAGCCATCTTGACACAGTTGAATTTAGAGTGCTCTCATTCCTCTGTGCTGCTGGCTCCACAATATCATCAGCAAACCACAAATTACCATTTACATTTCCTCGCGCCGTCGCTGACACCGGTTTGAAGGTGCTCCTATATGTTACTATGGAAACAAAGACCCTACTTCTTGGTTAGCTGCGGGCTACGGCAACTTTGAAACAATAATTTAATCTTTTGGAGTCTGCACACTTTTTGCTGCATTATGAAACAAAAATATATAAACAAGGAGCAGTTGCCGCATTAATTAAGTAAAACAGTGGCAGGATAATCTTCCCAAACAATTACATTTTTGTTTGAAATGCAGGCTGTAGAAGAAAGTGAGGCAAGCCAAAGTCATCAAAAGTCAATCTTGACAAACATAAAGCTTCATGGACTTGTTACCCAAGTTTGAGAACCAAGGAAATTACAGTTGCATGTAGAAGTATGTTAATAATTAAGGTAAGCATAGAAAAGAAATAGGATAAAACAGTAACTGAGTACTAACGATTTCAGTAATGGGCAAAACCAAGCTAACACAGCAAGAGAAAACATACAGATTTTAATTGGGACCTAAACAACATAGGACCACATACCATACAATCAGTTCCCCAAGAACTACGCAATATAGCAAAAAAAAAAAAATGCAATTAATGTCAAATTTAAAAAAAAATGTAAACACTACACAAACTGTATCACTGACTAAACATCAGTCTAGCACCTTCTGTTGCTATACAGCATCACGTTGGCTTCAACATTCGTCAATCTATGACTAAAAACAGAAGGTGTGTGGTAGTAAACTCCTCAGTAAAGCAGGTGCCAATAAAACATAGTGCATTATAATATTGTGCAGTGTATGACATTTGTATGTTGATGTGTTTTATGCACAAAGCAAAACAAAAATACCACAAAAAAATAGAGCTTGTCTAGCTCTGGGCCCTCACATCCCTTTACATTAAGGAACCATTGAGCGATTCAAACTACAAAAACACTGGAGATGAGACAGGTTACAAGGTAAGGATACATCAGCATTACTTTACTTGTAGCAGACAAACACACCACAAAACTTTGGGTTAGTCACTCTCTACCAACTGAACTACACTCATGAAACTCTTTTAGCTGAAGTGCAAAGAAACTGATTTTCTGCTTCAGAGGTCAAGAGCATTGGAAACAAGGCCTAAAACGACTTGAGACATCTTCACCAGAGAAAGGGCCACCTCAGACACACACACTGACACTGACAGACAACCTGTTACAACCTGAAGGGAAAGAAGGCAGTATTAAAGAGTAAACACAGAGCCCCACACACACTTCAAACTTTGAGAGGCAAGAACACTAACCACTATGCCATCCACTATCCATCCACTAACATCCAAGTATCACAAAACAGTATGTATGATAGTATTCCCAATAATGCCCTTAAACCTCCCAGTACTGACCTGACCAGCTCCTCCACCTTGTCATCGATGTCCAGGTCCTCTTCCGTGGGCTCAAACCCAAAGGCCCGCGCAGCAGCTGCACTGTTCACCGGGTAACGAGGCGGGGACAGTTTACCGTTGGGTGTGGCTGCTAGGCTGTCCCGCCCATTCTGTGCCAGCGCCACCAGTGACACAGGCGAAGGCAAGATGGCCGACGGAGGGGGCGGGCCCGGAGGAGGGGACGTGTCATAGCTGTTGCTGGGGGACGGAGAATGCGCCCCACTGTTGGCATACTGTGTCTGGGTAGACGTAGAGATTTTGGCGGAGGTCGAGAGGTCAGTGGCACTGGCTTCACTGGTGCTGTTGCCGTTACACGCAGAGGAGGCGGAAGAGGCAGTGTTGTTGTTGAACGCTGTGGCGCTGTTGGAGGCAGAGTTGTTGGTGCAATTGTTGGCCCCGCCCACTACACCATACAAGGAAGAGGAAGAAGAGGAGGAAGAGGTTCGGCGACCAAACTTGTCCCCATGCTCCCGGTCCAGCCGGTCCAGTGTGTCCAGCGCATGAAGGATCTCCTGCTTGGTCATCCCCGAGCGACGCAAGCGCTGCAGCAAATCTATCTGTTCAATAGTGAAGCGTGGCTCCTCGCTCAACTCAGTCATCCTGCTGCAGGGCATAAGACACAACTCACTGTCAGAGGGAAACAGGAAATACAGGAGGAAGTTAGGCAGAAGTGGAGGAAAGTCAAATCCAAGGAGAGGTAGAAAAAGTGCAATCAAGAGCAAAGAGCAGGGAGGAAGAGGAGGGAGAGATGAGACAGTTTACAGGCTGGAGGAGGCAGCGGAATGAGAGGATTAAGTGGGAAAAGAACATGCGGTAGAGTTGCAGATGGAACAGAGAAAAGCACTGGGGGCGAGTTAGGAATGAAAGAGGAAAAACTGCAGGAGGGGTAAAAGAAAGAGGCAGCAGATAAGAAAAGAAGACGTGCCAGAGACACAAGTGTGAAAGAAAAGGAGGGAGGGGCAGGGCATAAAATCTGCTATTTTTGGGAAGCAGCAGGCAACGCACGCAGAGTGCTGGAGTCACCTTGACAGCTGATGCTATCTTAACATTCTGACTGCCGTTCTTTAAGAGCTACAATATATCCCCAGCTCGGCACACCACCCACGCTCTATGTTTTTCATAAGCAATTTGCTGTGCTCAAAATCAATGCAACTGGAATCAGACTGCGGCAGATTTTCCATCTTCTGTGCCAGCCCGACCTATGGCGATATGATAAATGCTTTAAAAGGGGTCACTGGCATTTTTCTACATCTGTGTTAGTGCAAACCCCACAGAGGACAGAGGGAACATTAAGTGAATTCAGGCTGTGCAAGAACCACTCAGTCCTGACATGTATACTTTTGTTCAGCGCTAAAGCAATTTAGGAGCATTTTGACATTCTGCATCAAAACAGCTATAGCTGAAAGCTTTGATATTCACCGCTTAAGACTAAATTTTGTTCTCATTGTTCTCTTGTACTCATTTATACCAGATATATAATTTAAATTACAGTCTAAAATGCATATCTATTTATGCATGAGCTGGAACAGTGGATATTAATGTTAGCAATAAATATCTCAGTCAGAAAACTATTGAAAATAGTTATGTCCTCTCAAATTAATGCCTAACCTCTTGAATCAACTTTAACCTCCACTAAACATTGCCAGCTCCATGTCATTTTAGGGCCCCGCTCCAACTTTAAGTTATTTTACACTCTGTGTAGCTTAGTTACTCTGGTGATTGAACATTAGCTAGTCTACTAACAAGTTGCCATTGCAAATAAGTAAATCATTACAAGATTGTCCATCCATTCAAAGACAAAGCCTTGACTTGTCCTGATGTTACTAGTTAAATCACAGAGAGGTCACGTCGGTCAGAAGCATGCTCCTCAAATATGCAGAGACTTTACAGTTCTTCTGCTGAAAGAACAGAATGTGCTCCAGTGATCTGAGTGGACGGAAAAGTTTAATTGCTTTACTACTCAAGACACGTGTGTGCCACTAATGAGTAATAATTTGTAATACACAAGTTAAAACACACAAACATAAGTGCAGGTCTAGTTGTTCCTGATCTTCTTTATCTACGACCTCAGGTGAGACTAACTTCTAAGAATGACTCTAATTGTAATATTCTTATATTGTGTATGACTGTTTATTTGGTGGCACAAAGCACACTATCTTCATTGTTTTGCTCAGAGTTGTCTTGCAGTAAGAGCTCAGCCCGTGTGTGCTTTAAGCGCTGCGGGTACACCACAGATGATGCCAGCTTGCACGCCCTTTGCCCAAAAGCTAACGACGCTAGCGAATGTATGCATAATGCACGGCGCAGTAGCCTATACTTAAACATTTTATCACAGCGGTAATGTTAACAGAGAACTTATTCACGCCGTTGTTGTTTAAAGTGACATTTAGTAATCTGAGTTGACAGCAATCATGGGCATCTTCACACAGGGACAAACTTAGCATTCTCAGAGGTAGCGTACAGTTGACAGACTGATTAGCATAACAGGCTAGCCGTGCCAGCGCTGATACTAGCTGACGTTAGCCGTCGGGGCTAGCAAACGTTTGATATCAATAAGATCACTTTCAGTATTGCACAGAGTAAACTACATGACTTACCTCTCTTTCCAGTCACGGTACCATTTAAGTTGACAGTCTGAGCAACGATGCGCGGTGTGCCCACTGCAGCGGAACAATGGAGCGATATGGTAACAGTGCCCCGTCCGACCCCTTTCCAAGGATTTCTGATCAGAGGCGAATTATTTGCCTTTCTGCTTTGTCTGTCTGACAACAGCCATATTGACAACTTACACCTCTGTGGAGCTGCGAGGGAACTGTAGTTTTCCTCTCTCAAAGGCCTCTACCAAGCGGCCGGGCGGGGAGCTCCAAAAACTACAAGTCCCTGAGACGAAAGCGGAGGAGCACTTCTACAGTTGTCAAAAAGAGACGCAGTTTGTGCTGTGGCCACAGCTGGAGCAGCGGGGAGCGCTCCGGGCTCTGTCTGCGCGCTCCTGCACCGGACATGGGAGGGCTAAACTTTCAGGTCCCAGGTTATCTTAAAACATTGTAACACCAAATCAGTTTTGACAAGGGCAATGACTAACAGGCATTCATGCCAAATTTTTAAGTATCTAGGCCACCGAACAGGAGTAAATTGTAGGTTAGATTAATCAAATGAATTAGGTCTAAACTATCATAGGCCTTTAAATCCCATGTGAAATCCCATGTTACAGGCAACATTAACATAAGACAATCTATTGACAGACTTTGAACTAAAGTCTAGACTAATCAAAATGCTTTATGATACAACCTTGTGTCAGGTCTAAAAAGGGCATATTGCTGTAATGCATTAGGCTATAGACAACAGCATCTTCTAATAGCACATCAGAGACCTGAATGCAACAATTCCTCTTCGAATGGCTTATAAGGAACTACGGGAAATAAAAATTAATAAATCACATTGCTGTGAAAATGGCAAAACATCCTTTTGTTGTCAGGCCTAGCCTATAACCCTCAGAATGTATGAGTAGGGTTTCATTGATAACTATGCTGACTTTCTGTTAGACAAGGTAAACATGATGTATAGCATAAATTCATATAATATACATTAAACATGCATGCTTGTCAGATTTGTCAGAATATGCTGTGGTGCTGTCCAGTTTTTGAGTCCAACCTCCAGGTCCATTGAGCAATTAATTGTAAGTCATTTTGCCTTGTGTATATCCTTTATGAAGTTACAGTTTGCTTTTTGCTTTTATCAAACACGTGTTCAAGTGTAATGGAGAAGCACTTTAGCCACTAAGTTTCTTGAGCTGGTGAATTGTAAAGAGGAACTGTCAGCACTAAAGAGACAAATTAAGAGAGCCTTTATGCCGTTGCAGGTGGCTAATACAGCATAGGATTCAAATGGACTTTTCTACTGATGCAGATCCAAGCAGCCATTAATATTTTCTGTGCTGTTTGTTATTCTGTTCCTGCACCTGCATTGTCTCCACAGTATGCAGTAACATTATACTGAATGTGAAGCAATTTACCACTTCCTTTTCTACTACACTAGAATATTATTTTAATGCAAAAAAGTAAGTACCTTCATATTTTAGGGTGAAAAATGACTAATGGTCATGAGCTTGAATTAATGAAACAAGATCCATAATTGGCTAAAATGCTGGGCTGGCTACTGTCTGGGAATAGCTCAGACAGAAGCTCAGAGTAGAGCTGCAGATCTTCCACATCCATAGGAGTCTGCATGGAGTCCTTGCTCAGATTGCGGCTCTCATGACCTGATCCATGAAAAGCAGAGGAAGAGAGTGTAGTTTTTTTCTATTTTGGCACTCCTTGTGAAGAAAGCTTGGTGCCATGTAAACAGCATTAATGCATACAGTTGCAGGAAAGAGCCCCTGCCTGTTCTCCTTAAGAGCAGATGAAAACCTTTAACACTAAACCCACAGGCAGTGAAGATGTGTTAATAAAGTGTTAAATAACGATATAGGCTAATTCAAACATATGGGAGGTATATACATGAATAAGCCATACGTCTTCAAAGGTACAATAGCTTTTGTGACTATTACATTTCATTATAGCGCTATATAACGCTCAAACCATATTCTAGCGTTTCTACTGCCCCCTTGGGGCAGTAGAAACGTGTAGCAGCCGCACAACACACTAAAATAAAGCGTTCCTTTTTATAAACCTTACTATACACCCAACATTGGCTACTTATCTGAACTAAACTTTCTGTGACAAGGCTCCAACACGTTGTGATTCAAATGGTGTGAACATTTTGGGAAAAGGGATGATTTTTAGAACGTCTGGTAATGTTTTTTTACCATGTAATATCCATATAATATTGACTAAGCTATAGTTCACATACAGTCTTTTATTTATTAGCTGAAATATGTAGTTATTTTGCACAAAAGCCCATAAAACTTCATATAGCATATAACAGAAAAGATCCGGTTCAGCATTTGTAGATTCACCTTCTGGATAGGCTGTTTCTTGTGAATGTAATAATAGTTGTCTCTTGTTCCTATCTGAGAGTGCGTGACTGTCATAAAATAGAATATGGTAGTCGACATTTACTGTGTTATTAGACCATTCACAATTTATAAACAGGCCTACTGTTCTCTTCTGTATTAAACACATGTTTAGCTAGAAAGTATAGCTTATATGTACAGTGTATACAGACCACTTTTTGTATTAGGGCATGGGCTGCCCCTTTAAGGTGAGAACTGTTGGAGCTTCCTCCCAAGTTTCCTATTTTCCAAGACATCCTTATGGACTCAGTGCGCAGCTGCCCAGCCAACATGGTCTGATGCCTGGAGTGGATGCATTTACCTTCATGACTTTAGCTTCTTTTACAAAAACACATTTTACTTTTTATCATCAAACTCGACGTGGGTTTTCCCAGGGTGTTTCACGGTAAGTCTGATGCTGGGATGTGTCTTTACTGAAGGCGTGCAGGAGAAAGCGCAGTTGTAGCCAGCTGTTTTGGTTAAGTTAGCAGGCTAGCAGCGGCTAACGTGAACTTAGCTAGCTTTGGAAAGAAAGTAAGCAGCGATGGACAGTTTTACTATTAATAAGCTAATTAAAGACACCAATTTAACAGTAGTACGGCTGTGTGTGTTATAGCGGGATACTGGAGGAATTAGGTTTACACTGATCGGATCTGCGGGTCAGCTGTGATTTGACACGAGGCCACTGTTGTTATGAAAACGTCATAACAGGATCAATACATTAGGCAAAGTAACGGGACTCGTGTATTTTAATAAAGATATACCACACCCGCATATTTAGTTGCATTAACGGCTAATAACATAATAATTATAAGTCAATTATTTATTTGATACTCATTACTTGTCAATTTTTTTTTTTTTTTAAGAGAATTACCTAGTTTTTTCCCCAGACACTCAGACTCCCTGTACTTTTCCTACTTTTCTCTATTTTAAAGGTTGATTGTGTAACTTTTCTGGTGGAGGGCCAGCTTTTCTTCATGGAGATGTTATCGTTTTGTCTAGAATGTTTCACAGTATGGCATTAAACCTTTCCATCTTCAGGGAGACCAAAGCAGACCAAGTTACAGGCCAGAGCTGTGGAGAGGCGACCCCGCTCAGTTAGAATGCCTGTTTTGTCTAGGTATTTTTGAGCTATACAACAACGTGCAATTGAATAAATGTAAGTTTAGACGTAAGGTAGACCTGTTTAATGTCATACTGTGGGACATTGCTGGCAGAGCAATAACATATTCATAGAAACAAGCAGGTGACAGACCCTGTACTAGAAAAGTTACAATGCACCTTTAAGGGGGCAAAAACTGCTTTTAACGGAACATTGTATTATTGCTTATGATAATGATGATATTATGGGCAGATAATCAATAGTATACCACAACACATAATATAATACAATAATATCCTAAAACAGCCACAAACCTTGACTTTAATTTGTGTTACATTCTTAGAATGTCATAACAATAAAGTAAATACATTTGATTGTTGCAGATGTTATTAACACTATTTAGTCTACAGGGTAGTGTTAAATGGACTACTCCATACCCTCAGCTGTCCACTATGGCCTCCTTTTCTGATTTATTTGTTGTTACAAATATTTCTGTCAAAAGTATTATCAGACTAATCCTGGTCTTATTGCTTCTTAACGTCATATGAACGTGACCGCTGGTGTTGGAGCCAATTAACAGTTTAGAAACAGAAGCTAAGATTGAAAACCAAAGGGCACTGGGTCAATGTAGAGGAAAATAAGTAAAAATGCACAGCCAGTCAGATTTTAGTACACCACCTTATGATGTTATACCTATATATATATATATATGTAAAAATATATAGATATTATATAATATATAATATCTTTTATGTAATTACTTTTTATTTGTGTCTGTTCTACAGAAGTTGGCTCTTGTCAGGACCTAAGACTAAACAAATCAGTGCTGCTTTAAACTCTACACAGCGAGTACTTGGAAATATTTACTATAGCATTCTGTGATTGTTGTGGTGTGTCTGCAATATGGCCACTAGAGGTCAGAATTGCATTTCTTTTTTTCAATTTTATGACGCAAACAGCTGCTTGGCATCTTACTATGCCTATCTTCAAGGAATGTAAAGGGATGTATTTTCAGCATCTGTAAAACTTATGATGCCATCTTTGTCATACCATTTAGGACAAACATTGGCTAATGAGACCACATGCCTTTGAATCACTTAATTGATCTTTTGATAACATTTACGAGAATCAGCTGACAGTGTTAAGGATGGCGCCCAGATGATTTTGTCTTTACCTCTGCAGCTGTTCATTCATGTTTATGTGTTTTATCTATTTTCTGTGTTGTTATGGTCCAATTGGTTGCAAGTGCTGTTGATAGCTCTTAAGACACTTCTCATACCATTTTCTGCACAGGGGTGGTTTTTGGCTGTGTACATTTTCTTAATAAATAGGGTGAAGAGTGGAGAGATATATTTAGAAAATTGTCATTGTTTTTCTCATGAATGTGTAAAGGCTATTGTAGAACCAAGCATGTGCATTGTGACCCAGTCCCTGGGCCATTGTAGACTACAGCATAGCTTTGTATTAGTCAGCCAAATAAATTTTTTGCTGGTTGTTGATATTATAGACAGGACTTTATCCAAGTAGTGATTGGTTTCCTCTATGCCAAAGAAACATTTGATATGTTGAAATGGATTGTATTTGTGTTAGTAATGTGAGTGACTCATTAGCTTTTGACTGTCTCTTTCTGAGACCCATAGTAGCTCCTGCAAGTCCTGTAGATATTTTAATTGGTATTCTATAGGGATGCGGCAAGAGTCGTGTATACATGAAAAAAAATCTGATTTTTTTTCACCCATCTTTTTACATTTGGATTGGCCTCATTGGCGATGAGTTACATTTCTTGAGCTTTAGGTACAAAAAGCAGTGCTGCAATGAGAGAAA